TAGACAAGGGCTTGGATCTGTTTGCGCTCTCGGAGACTTGGCTCCAACAGGACGACTACGTTAGATTGAATGAGTGCACTCCTCCGACGCATGTTAACTACCAGAAAGCCAGAGCTACAGGTCGCGGCGGTGGTGTTGCGATTATATCACACACCAACTTGGTTCTTAGTCCCAAAACCAACAACGCTTTTCACTCGTTTGAAAACTTAACACTTTCAATCACCTGTCCTGGGTGGAGAAAACAAAAAGCAGTACTATTTATAGTTTTATACCGACCTCCTGGTCCTTACAGCGAGTTCCTAACAGAATTCTCTGACTTCATTTCAAACCTAGTTTTGGAATGGGAAAACATAGTTATAGCTGGAGACTTCAATATACATGTGGACGACAGCACTGACAGCTTAAACAAAGCTTTCAGCGCCGTACTAGATGGTGTTGGTTTTACTCAGAATGTCGAGGAACCTACTCACATTCATAACCACACCTTGGACCTTGTCCTGACCTACGGCTGTGATGTCTCCAATGTTGACATCCAGCGTCAAAGCTCGTTGCTGTCTGACCATTTCTTGATCACGTTTGATCTCGCTTTGGAGGACTTTCCTGTCCCGCAAGATAAAACCATAATGAAAAGAACCTTAAATGATAAATCTATCACAAGGTTCAAAGAACTAATACAGCCTATGTTGAATACTGCTGCAGGTGAACCTGTTCACAGCAGCTGCAGTCCCTCAGTCATTGACCAAACGGTGGGCAACACTATGGAGTCTTTAAAATCTGCATTAAATGCAGCAGCTCCTTTAAAACAGAAAACCATTAGGATTAGATCATCGTCGCCCTGGTACAGTGTTCAACTCCACACTTTAAAACAGGACGTCAGAAAATTGGAGAGGCTATATCGCCACTCCCACTCGGAGCCTGTCCACAGGGAGTGGAAAGCAGGTCTCCGAAACTACAAGAAGGCCCTTCGCGGGGCTCGAACTCAATACTATTCAACTTTAATAGAAGCGAATAAAAACAACAGTAGATTTTTGTTTGGTACCGTCGCTAAACTCACAAACTGCCATAGCGCAATCGAGCCTAAAATTCCAAGCTCACTGAGCAGTGTCGACTTTCTCCACTTCTTTAATAATAAAATGACATCCATCCGTGACAAGCTGGAGGAGGTTACTCCTGCTGTTAGTGGTGGACAGGTTGAAGCGGCATACGTGACTTCCCACTTAGACTCTTCAGTGGGCCTCGATAAATTCATGGCTGTGAGCCAAGCAGAGGTGGTCTCTGTGGTCACATCCTCAAAAGCCTCAACTTGCATGTTAGACGCAGTCCCGACATGGCTCTTCAAAGACATACTTCCTTTGATAATTGAGCCTATCGTAAATATAATAAACGCATCCATACAATGTGGCTATGTCCCACAAGCTTTTAAAACCGCGGTAATCAAACCCCTTCTGAAGAAAACAAACCTGGACCCAGAAATACTTACAAACTACAGACCGATCTCAAACCTCACTTTTATATCTAAAATCCTGGAAAAACTTATAGCTGAGCAGCTCCGCTGCCACCTGCAGGAAAATGATATGTTTGAAGTCTTTCAATCAGGATTCAGAGCTCATCATAGCACTGAAACGGCACTAGTCAAAGTCACAAATGACTTACTACTAGCTGCTGATAATGGACAAGTGTCAGTGCTGGTCCTACTGGACCTTAGTGCTGCATTTGACACAATAGACCACAGCATTCTACTGCAGAGGCTAGAATGTGATATAGGTCTTAGAGCATGGGTTCCCAAACTAAGGCCCGCGGGCCGGATACGGCCCGCCACGCCTCTTTGACCGGCCCTCCACCTCTGAGCAGCTAGTTGCAAAAAATAAAAAAAAATAAATAATAAATAAAAAAAAAAAAAAAAAAAAAATGTATTTTATATATTTTATTTGGTTTTAGATAACACTAAAATATTTGTATTAACCATTTTATATTTATATAATTGCATGTGTCTGTATTATTTTTATGATTTATCGTTATGACCGAATTTCTGCCACCTCACTGATCGAGGAAGTCATGCGCAGAGAATGGGTGCGTACCGATGTTCCCCGGGTCCGATGTTCCCCCACTTCTATAGGCGGGGGAACATCGGTACTTCGCGTATTAAAAAGTCCCGATGTTCCCCGGGTCCGATGTTCCCCCGCCAACAGAAGTGGGGGAACATCGGGACTTCAACAACGAGACTAGTCCCGCTGTTCCCCGCGTGCGCCCTTTGATGTTTGATGTTTCCTCCTCCACGAAAGATGGCATATGATCCGTGCCAACTTTTGTGAGAGAAAAAATACTAACTAGCCTAAGCCTATTTACTTTTCTTTTTCCCTCTCGCTCTTTGTGTGCTCATATTTCAGCTGATCGCAGCTTGAGTCTATGCAGGATATTTTTGGCCATGTTATGGGCATGTTATCTCCCCTTGCTCACTCTCCCATGGGCATCTATATTTGACAAGTCTGACTGAATAAAATGAGGACGATTGAAACTAGAGCTACTACATCTGTTAGCCTATAGTTTTTCCAAATACGTGGTTTTGCTGAGGGCACTGTGCTTTTACGCATAATGGACACGCATATGACGTCGTTTTTGTTGTAAAACTTGAATATGCTCTTTTAGTTTTAGAGATATTAATACATATTATTCTATTCAGAATGCGTGCGTCATTGTGCATTGTTGTCCCGCCTTACGTGTCACTCACAGTTAAAATGTAAATAACCAATTCAAACATAGCATTTTTACAACTTGAGCTTTAAGAAAAAAATGATCAAAGGAATCAGTGTAAAATAAGATCGGAAAAGCTCAATTCATGATTGTTTAATTAGGTTTCCCATTTCTAAATACAATTGGAAACGCTCAGAATTCAAAAATATTGAAAAGTGTATTGGCTCCTACAGTGGGGGGAATAATAATAATAATATAACCCCCTGAGCGTCATCACGTTCCTACGTTGCTTCAAATATAGTCCTGTTTATTGGCTGAACAATTTTGTCCAATATCATATTACACAGCGTGAAGCGAGAACAACCAGCTATTCCTCGTCTTAAAGATTGACAACGCTCTCAAAGCATTCACAACAGAGCAGCCTTTTTCATTTTAATTTTAAGAAAGTTCAGCGTGAACTTTGTGAGGTAGAGGAGCCAGAGGCCCGGGCCCGTAGGTCCCAGAGGAGGAGAGCGCGGTCAGGCCAGGCTCGCCTCGCACTGATGAGGTAAACTCTAGGCCTGTGTGAGACACACTGTGGGCCTCACTGTAGGCCTCACTGTGGGCCTCATGTGGGCCTCATGTATGAAACCTGCGTACGGCCAAATCAGGGTAAATGAGGCGTACGCAAAATATTACACTTTTCCGCATTTATCAATCTGGACGTGAGCGTACAATACGCAAAAAATAAACGCCAGGTCTGGAGGTGGTGTAAATCTATACGCTGAACTCAACCTTCGGCACAACACGCCAAAACATACGCATGAAATTCAAGATATGTACAACAATAAACATATTCCCTCTGGCAAAATTATATGCTGTGTTTTCATTGAGATATCATGTTTCAAAATTTGAATTTGCGCATCAGAAAAAGTCTAATGGAAACACGCAAACTTCGAATAAATCACAGCTCATGATGAGGACCCTCTATTAAATCTGACTTGTGTGTGTATTATTTTGATCTGTATGTTTTTAAAATGTGAAGCGCTTTGTGATCCTGGACAGTCAAAGGCTCTATATAAATACACATACGCAACAGGGATGTGTGACCCATCTATTGCTGTGGCAGGCTCTGCGCTGCGTAATTACGCACGGCTATTTGTATTCCTCATTCACATCTGGTAAAGCAATGTGTTATTTCATTAGATTTGTGTAAGCCTCACACAGACACACACCCCAATAACGCATCGATGGTATTGCTCACTCAAACGTCTCACTGCCCTGTCCAGAGTGCGCAGCGAGTGCCGTGAGAGGTCGCGCCACATGTGCAGAAGTTTTGGCTCCAGAGTTTCTTTGTGAAATCTGGACCGCAAACGCTCTCTGAAGTGTACAGCGCCTCAATGCGCACTTCTACCCCGAGCCAGGCTGCGTCCAAGACGCTGCAGACGCTTCATTCAGAGCCACCGCTGCATAATATATATGAATTAATTAATTAATTCAATCAATCTATATTTATTCACTTCTACAATTCAAGAAGGATTTTTCTAATGTATCAAAACATTTTGGCAAATTGCGTAAATGGAATATACACCCAAAATGTACATCTTTTTCAACGCAAGTTTCATAAATGAGCTTGTGTGTATGTGCGCGCGTGAGTGCGTGTGCGTGCGTGTGTGCGTTTGAACCATATTCTTTGAAACCCCAATTCCAGTTAGCCCTTGTAGTTTTCAAGCGAATTTGGCCTACTTACTAATCTGCAGGCCTACCCAAAATTGCAAACCTGGCGCCAATACTGTTGCGAGGATGAACGGAGGGAGATATGTTTCCAAAAAGAAAAGGTGGTGGAGCTAATTTTACTTTTCTTATCTGCAACACGTTCTTATTCTGAGGTGGTAGGTTGTAAAAATGTAGTTGGCTACCAATGCGAGATCTACAAGGCTTATAATATAAAGTATTCAGTAGCCCTATGAGCGAAAGCCGCTTGTTGCTCCATTATCCGCGCGCAGCAATAACATGTCTATGAGCGAGGCCCGCAGTCGGGGAACACCGGGCCCTCCGGCGTTTGGAAGGTCCGATGTTCCCCGGGTCCGGTGTTCCCCGCCCCGGGGAACTCCGGACCCGGGGAACTCCGGACCCGGGGAACACCGGACCCGGGGAACATCGGGCCCGGGGAACTCCGGACCCGGGGAACACCGGACCCGGGGAACATCGGGCCCGGGGAACTCCGGACCCGGGGAACACCGGACCCGGAACATCGGGCCCGGGGAACATCGGGCCCGGGGAACATCGGGCCGACCCCCAGAGAATAGCAGCAGTTGAACAGCAGTGCAATGGCGTGCAGTAAAGTGAGGAAAATTGATCGAGAGTGCCGGGTTTTTAATGAACAATGGACCAGGGATTATTTTTTTGTTCCATGGAAGGACCGTGCCATTTGTATTATATGTAAAGAAAACGTGTCCGTGTTTAAAGAATACAACCTTCGCCGCCATCACGAAACCCGTCACAAGGAGTATGCTAGCTTGAAAGGGGCAGCGAGAGATGACAAAGTTCGGCGACTGAAAGGTGGGCTAGCAGCTCAGCAGGATGCCCTGCTCCGTCAATCACGGGCCAACCTGGCTGCTGTCCGAGCAAGCTACAAAGCAGCTAACCTACTGGCTATTCACGGCAAGCCGTTCACGGACGGTGAATTCGGGAAGGCTATGATGCTGGCTGTGTCTGAGGAAGTGTGTCCAATCTCATCCCTTTATGCCAGGTTTCCAGGCAGCAGGAGAGGGGACTGCAACTGCTGACCTCAAAGATCACTGCCCATCACTTACCTGCCCATCCATCCTTCATCCCACCTTGGTTACAGCAAGTACAAATTCACTGCACATATTGCTGACTTCTGTTACTCTGTTATTCTGTTACTCTCTTCCGAGTGCAAATTGCTCTGTCTCTCATCTCCTCTCAATCTCTTCTCTCAGCATCTCTCTCTCTCTCTCTCTCTCTCTCTCTCTCTCTCTCTCTCTCTCTCAGCTCTCTCTCTCTCTCTCTCTCTCTCTCTCAGCATCTCTCTCTCTCTCTCAGCATCTCTCTCAGCATCTCTCTCTCTCTCTCAGCAGCATCTCTCTCTCTCTCTCAGCATCTCTCTCTCTCAGCATCTCTCTCTCTCTCTCAGCATCTCTCTCAGCATCTCTCTCTCTCTCAGCATCTCTCTCTCTCTCTCTCTCTCTCTCTCTCTCTCTCTCTCTGCACTGCCCCTCATCTCAATCTCCTATTTCAAAGGGTTATAAATCACTGTTTTAGGTTTGTTGATATAATGGTCATGGCAAACTTTGTTTTATATATTATTATTGGTCAATTTGATTTCATGATCTACATGTGAGCTATTATAGAGCAATGAAGTTCTGTTTGTTGTTGCTCTTTCTGTAATTTAAATGTTTTTAATGCATTCAGTTTGTGACATGTATGATGCACTTAATTATAACTAATAGCTAAGCCTTACTCTGAATTTTATTGTTTATTTTTTTCAATGCATTCAGTTTATTTGACCTGTATGGTGCACTTAATTATAACTCATCAATAGGCCTTCCTACAGTTTGTAATTTTCACTAACCTAGTGTGCAAATGACCAGAAGTTTCTTGTCTTGATAGTTTCTCATCTCACTGGAAGTTAAACAGGCCTTCCCTTTCTCTTGTATCACTCATAAACTCAATCACCATATTTTTCTAACCTTTCCCTGCTATTTTTACATGGTTGTTATTAGAAAATAAAAGGAATACCTGTGGTATTTCAAATTGGAAAAACGTGAAGAACTCACTTCTTTTGTAAATCACTTGTAATGATGAACTATTTTGTGCTTGAAATTATGGCTATAACTGGCCGTGGCCGAGTATACAGCCCATATGATTGATCCCGGCCCCTCAACACAGTCAGGAACGATAATGTGGCCCCCAGAGAAAAAAGTTTGGGGAGAGAGGGAGAGCAGAGAGAGAGAGAGCAGAGAGGCAGAGAGAGAGAGAGAGAGCAGAAAGCATAGAGGGAGAGAGCAGAGAGAGCAGAGAGGGAGAGAGCAGAGAGGGAGAGAGCAGAGAGGGAGAGAGCAGAGAGGGAGAGAGCAGAGAGAGGGAGAGAGCAGAGAGAGGGAGAGAGCAGAAAGCATAGAGGGAGAGAGCAGAGAGGGAGAGAGCTGAGAGGGAGAGAGCTGAGAGGGAGAGAGCGAGAGAGGGAGAGAGCGAGAGAGGGAGAGAGCAGAGAGGGAGAGAGCGAGAGAGCAAAGAGAGCAAAGAGAGCAGAGAGAGCAGAGAGAGCAGAGAGAGAGAGATCCCATCCTGTTCTCTCCTCAGTCACAGACCTGGAGTTGTGTTTAGCTCCACACACGCTAATATCAGACACTTCCAGCACATGTAGCTCCGCCCCTTCTATAACAGTGTGATGTCATCGTACCACTATGACATCACACTGTGACAGTTTGAACATAAGCGGGAGCCACTATCCTTATATGGGCGTTTGTTTAGACGGCACAGGGGCAGACGTGTTGCTAAGACGGTTGCTAAGGTGAATGAAGGCCTCTGATTGGCCGGTCCTTTTCTGGCTCATGTCTGGTTGTTTTTCTGGGTTGCCAGGTTGGTGTCGGAGCAGGGGGGGCTGCTCCGGACACAAACATGGACCATCGCTCGTCTCTGGGCAAAGTGAGCGGCTCCACGGAATCTGTCGCCACGGTGACGAGCGAGGAGTTCGTACTGGTCCAGTCCAACGCTGGGTCTCCACAGAGCTCAGAGGGACGGCCGAGACTCAAGGTACGACCCCAGAGAGAGAGAGACCAGAGAGAGAGAGACCAGAGAGAGAGACCAGAGAGAGAGACTAGAGAGAGAGACTAGAGAGAGAGGACCAGAGAGAGGGACCAGAGAGAGAGGACCAGAGAGAGAGGACCAGAGAGAGAGGACCAGAGAGAGAGGACCAGAGAGAGAGACCAGAGAGAGAGACCAGAGAGAGAGGACCAGAGAGAGAGACCAGAGAGAGGGACCAGAGAGAGAGACCAGAGAGAGAGACCAGAGAGAGGGACCAGAGAGAGAGGACCAGAGAGAGAGGACCAGAGAGAGAGACCAGAGAGAGGGACCAGAGAGAGGGACCAGAGAGAGAGACCAGAGAGAGAGACCAGAGAGAGAGACCAGAGAGAGAGACGAGAGAGACGAGAGAGAGACCAGAGAGAGAGAGACCAGAGAGAGAGACCAGAGAGAGAGACCAGAGAGAGAGACCAGAGAGAGGGACCAGAGAGAGAGGACCAGAGAGAGAGACCAGAGAGAGAGACCAGAGAGAGAGACCAGAGAGAGGGACCAGAGAGAGGGACCAGAGAGAGAGACCAGAGAGAGAGACCAGAGAGAGAGACCAGAGAGAGAGACGAGAGAGACGAGAGAGACGAGAGAGAGAGACCAGAGAGAGAGACCAGAGAGAGAGACCAGAGAGAGAGGACCAGAGAGAGAGGACCAGAGAGAGAGGACCAGAGAGAGAGGACCAGAGAGAGAGGACCAGAGAGAGAGGACCAGAGAGAGAGGACCAGAGAGAGAGGACCAGAGAGAGAGGACCAGAGAGAGAGGACCAGAGAGAGAGGACCAGAGAGAGAGACCAGAGAGAGAGACCAGAGAGAGAGGACCAGAGAGAGAGGACCAGAGAGAGAGGACCAGAGAGAGAGGACCAGAGAGAGAGGACCAGAGAGAGAGGACCAGAGAGAGAGGACCAGAGAGAGGACCAGAGAGAGAGGACCAGAGAGAGAGGACCAGAGAGAGAGGACCAGAGAGAGAGGACCAGAGAGAGAGGACCAGAGAGAGAGACCAGAGAGAGAGACCAGAGAGAGACCAGAGAGAGAGACCAGAGAGAGAGACCAGAGAGAGACCAGAGAGAGAGACCAGAGAGAGACCAGAGAGAGAGCAGAGAGTTAACATTTCGTGTCTTGCTTCAGATGTCGTGTAATGGGAACGAGCAGCTGGAGAAGGCCATGGAGGAGGTTTGGGACGATGAGGAGAAGAGCAGCACCGAGAAGATGGAGAAACACCAGACCCCGAAGACCACTGTCCCAGGTAACAGCCTCAGTCCTGGGTCTACAGCCTCAGTCCTGGGTCTAGACCTTGTCCCTGTGCTCCTCATAGTCCCAGTTGTTTCTTAAAGTTACAAACATCTCTCATTTTTATAAGTGGGACTTATCGATGGCTGCTTAAACACTGTACTGTACCTCTGCTGAGTGAGCACAGGGACGTCGTCCCCTGTACCTCTGCTGAGTGAGCACAGGGACGTCCTCCCCTGTACCTCTGCTGAGTGAGCACAGGGACGTCCTCCCCTGTACCTCTGCTGAGTGAGCACAGGGACGTCCTCCCCTGTACCTCTGCTGAGTGAGCACAGGGACCTCCTCCCCTGTACCTCTGCTGAGTGAGCACAGGGACGTCCTCCCCTGTAACTCTGCTGAGTGAGCACAGGGACGTCCTCCCCTGTACCTCTGCTGAGTGAGCACAGGGACGTCCTCCCCTGTACCTCTGCTGAGTGAGCACAGGGACGTCCTCCCCTGTACCTCTGCTGAGTGAGCACAGGGACGTCCTCCCCTGTACCTCTGCTGAGTGAGCACAGGGACGTCCTCCCCTGTACCTCTGCTGAGTGAGCACAGGGACGTCTCTCCCCTGTACCTCTATTGAGTGAGCACAGGGACGTCCTCCCCTGTACCTCTATTGAGTGAGCACAGGGACGTCCTCCCCTGTACCTCTGCTGAGTGAGCACAGGGACGTCCTCCCCTGTACCTCTATTGAGTGAGCACAGGGACGTCCTCCCCTGTACCTCTGCTGAGTGAGCACAGGGACGTCCTCCCCTGTACCTCTGCTGAGTGAGCACAGGGACGTCCTCCCCTGTACCTCTGCTGAGTGAGCACAGGGACGTCCTCCCCTGTACCTCTGCTGAGTGAGCACAGGGACGTCCTCCCCTGTACCTCTGCTGAGTGAGCACAGGGACCTCCTCCCCTGTACCTCTGCTGAGTGAGCACAGGGACGTCCTCCCCTGTAACTCTGCTGAGTGAGCACAGGGACGTCCTCCCCTGTACCTCTGCTGAGTGAGCACAGGGACGTCCTCCCCTGTACCTCTGCTGAGTGAGCACAGGGACGTCCTCCCCTGTACCTCTGCTGAGTGAGCACAGGGACGTCCTCCCCTGTACCTCTGCTGAGTGAGCACAGGGACGTCCTCCCCTGTACCTCTGCTGAGTGAGCACAGGGACGTCCTCCCCTGTACCTCTGCTGAGTGAGCACAGGGACGTCCTCCCCTGTACCTCTATTGAGTGAGCACAGGGACGTCCTCCCCTGTACCTCTATTGAGTGAGCACAGGGACGTCCTCCCCTGTACCTCTGCTGAGTGAGCACAGGGACGTCCTCCCCTGTACCTCTATTGAGTGAGCACAGGGACGTCCTCCCCTGTACCTCTGCTGAGTGAGCACAGGGACGTCCTCCCCTGTACCTCTGCTGAGTGAGCACAGGGACGTCCTCCCCTGTACCTCTGCTGAGTGAGCACAGGGACCTCCTCCCCTGTACCTCTGCTGAGTGAGCACAGGGACCTCCTCCCCTGTACCTCTGCTGAGTGAGCACAGGGACCTCCTCCCCTGTACCTCTGCTGAGTGAGCACAGGGACGTCCTCCCCTGTACCTCTGCTGAGTGAGCACAGGGACGTCCTCCCCTGTACCTCTGCTGAGTGAGCACAGGGACGTCCTCCCCTGTACCTCTGCTGAGTGAGCACAGGGACGTCCTCCCCTGTACCTCTGCTGAGTGAGCACAGGGACGTCCTCCCCTGTACCTCTGCTGAGTGAGCACAGGGACGTCCTCCCCTGTACCTCTGCTGAGTGAGCACAGGGATGTAGACTCAGCAGGAAGTGTCTCATTGTTCTACGTCCGGAGACAAACATGTCAAAAACCACAGGAAAAGCTTCGACTGAGCTTTAACCTCTTTAGTGTTGTTTCCACAGACTTTACAGATAGCTAGCTCAATGCTAACCTGCTAGCTCAATGCTAACCTGCTAGCTCAATGCTAACCTGCTAGCTCAATGTAGCCCAGTGCTCATGGACAATGTTTGGCTCCTCTTTCTGGTCTCTCTCTCTCTGGTCTCTCTCTGGTCTCTCTCTGGTCCCTGGTTTCTCTCTGGTCTCTCTCTGGTCTCTCTCTCTGGTCTCTCTCTCTGGTCTCTCTCTGGTCTCTCTCTGGTCTCTCTCTGGTCCCTGGTCTCTCTCTGGTCTCTCTCTCTGGTCTCTCTCTGGCCTCTCTCTGGTCCCTGGTTTCTCTCTGGTCTCTCTCTGGTCTCTCTCTCTGGTCTCTCTCTGGTCTCTCTCTGGTCCCTGGTTTCTCTCTGGTCTCTCTCTGGTCTCTCTCTCTGGTCTCTCTCTGGTCTCTCTTTGGTCTCTCTCTGATCCCTGGTCTCTCTCTGGTCTCTCTCTGTGGTCTCTCTCTCTGGTCTCTCTCTGGTCTCTCTCTGGTCTCTTTCTGATCCCTGGTCTCTCTGTGGTCTCTCTCTCTCTCTCTCTGGTCTCTCTCTGGTCTCTCTCTGGTCTCTCTCTGTGGTGTCTCTCTGGTCTCTCTCTGGTCTCTCTCTGGTCTCTCTCTGGTCTCTCTAAGGTCTCTCTCTGGTCTCTCTCTGGTCTCTCTCTGGTCTCTCTCTGGTCTCTCTCTGGTCTCTCTCTGGTCTCTCTCTGGTCTCTCTCTGGTCTCTCTAAGGTCTCTCTCTGGTCTCTCTCTGTGGTCTCTCTCTGATCCCTGGTGTCTCTCTGGTCCCTCAGACTCGTCAGGACCAGAGGAGGACAGTGTTCAGTTCCAGCAGGTGGCGTACCTCGGCTGCACTTGGGTCAAAGCTCCGCGGAGCGAGGCCGAGGCTCAGATGGCGATGGCCACGCTCCGAGCGGAGAGCGCCGTCCCCATCGCCATCAGTCTGCACGTGCCCAGTGCGCCCCAGGGCTGCGTCAGGTCAGACACACACAGAGACACACAGACACACACACAGAGAGACACACACAGACACACACACACAGAGAGACACACACAGAGACACACACACAGACACACACACAGAGACACGCACAGAGACACACACACGCACAGAGACACACACACACACAGAGACACACACACAGACACACACAGAGACACACACACAGAGACACACACAGACACACACAGACACACACACACAGAGACACACACAGAGACACACACAGAGACACACACAGACACACACAGACACACACAGACACACACAGACACACACAGACACACACACACAGAGAGACACACACAGAGACACACACACAGAGACACACACACAGACACACACAGAGACACACACACAGACACACACACACACACAGACACGCACAGAGACACGCACAGAGACACGCACAGAGACACGCACAGAGACACGCACAGAGACACGCACAGAGACACACACAGAGACACACGCACAGAGACACACGCACAGAGACACGCACAGAGACACACGCACAGAGACACACGCACAGAGACACACGCACAGAGACACACGCACAGAGACACACGCACAGAGACACACGCACAGAGACACACGCACAGAGACACACGCACAGAGACACACGCACAGAGACACACGCACAGAGACACACGCACAGAGACACACGCACAGAGACACACGCACAGAGACACACGCACAGAGACACACGCACAGAGACACACGCACAGAGACACACGCACAGAGACACACGCACAGAGACACACGCACAGACACACGCACAGAGACACACGCACAGAGACACACGCACAGAGACACACGCACAGAGACACACGCACAGAGACACACGCAGAGACACACACAGACACACACACTAAAGTTTTTCAGTATTGCACCCTTGATTTAAAATGTTTGTATCTTTGTGTGTGTCTGCGTCTCTTTGTGTGTGTCTGTCTGTCTGTGTGTGTGTCTCTTTGTGTGTGTGTCTCTCTGTTTGTGTGTGTCTGTGTGTGTGTCTGTCTGTGTAGGATTGTGGAGCAGTCCTCTGGGACAGAGATCGCATCGTTCCCCATTTACAAAGTGCTGTTCTGCGCTCGAGGCAGAGAGGGCGCTGTGGAGGCAGACTGCTTCTCCTTCACCGAGAGCTACAGGAGCTCAGAGGACTTCCAGATCCATGTGTTCTCCTGCCAGATACCAGAGGCCGTGAGTGACCAGAGGGAGACCAGAGGGAGGTCAGAGAGAGACCAGAGGGAGGCCAGAGGGAGGCCAGAGGGAGACCAGAGGGAGACCAGAGGGAGGCCAGAGAGAGACCAGAGGGAGGCCAGAGGGAGGCCAGAGGGAGACCAGAGGGAGACCAGAGGGAGGCCAGAGGGAGGCCAGAGGGAGACCAGAGGGAGACCAGAGGGAGACCAGAGGGAGACCAGAGGGAGGTCAGAGAGAGGCCAGAGAGAGGCCAGAGGGAGACCAGAGGGAGACCAGAGAGAGACCAGAGGGAGGTCAGAGAGAGACCAGAGGGAGGCCAGAGGGAGGCCAGAGGGAGGCCAGAGGGAGACCAGAGGGAGACCAGAGGGAGGCCAGAGGGAGGCCAGAGGGAGGCCAGAGGGAGACAAGAGGGAGGCCAGAGGGAGGCCAGAGGGAGGCCAGAGGGAGGCCAGAGGGAGACCAGAGGGAGACCAGAGGGAGACCAGAGGGAGACCAGAGGGAGACCAGAGGAAGACCAGAGGAAGACCAGAGGGAGACCAGAGGGAGACCAGAGGGAGACCAGAGGGAGACCAGAGGGAGACCAGAGGGAGACCAGAGGGAGACCAGAGGGAGACCAGAGGAAGTCCAGAGGGAGACCAGAGGAAGACCAGAGGGAGGCCAGAGGGAGGCCAGAGGGAGGCCAGAGAGAGGCCAGAGGGAGGCCAGAGGGAGGCCAGAGGGAGGCCAGAGGGAGGCCAGAGGGAGACCAGAGGGAGACCAGAGGGAGACCAGAGGGAGGCCAGAGGGAGGCCAGAGGGAGGCCAGAGGGAGGCCAGAGGGAGACCAGAGGGAGACCAGAGGAAGACCAGAGGGAGACCAGAGGGAGACCAGAGGGAGACCAGAGGGAGACCAGAGGGAGACCAGAGGGAGACCAGAGGAAGACCAGAGGGAGGCCAGAGGGAGGCCAGAGAGAGACCAGAGAGAGTAGAGTAGAGTAGAGTAGAGTAGAGTAGAGTAGAGTAGAGTAGAGTAGAGTAGAGTAGAGTAGAGTAGAGTAGAGTAGAGTAGAGTAGAGTAGAGTAGAGTAGAGTAGAGTAGAGTAGAGACTCACTCCATAAAGCCACAGCTGCAGCACTTTAGTTCAGCACTTTACAGCCACAGCCGCCTGGTGTTCCCTGAGGTCTCCCATCACAGAACTAACCAGGCCCTGCCCTGCTTAGCCTCTGAGATATTACAGGATTTGGCTTTCACCTCCAGGTGGCGTCATATAATCAGTTGTAAACATATTTTCATCACGTCATATTTTTTAACGTAAAAGTATTTTAAATACACAGTATTTATAACGTCATGTGAGACGGCTCTCCACTAACCGGACTGGTCCTGGTTCTGGTCCTGGAGCCGGTCCTGGAGCGGGTCCTGGAGCCAGTCCTGGGGCTGGTCCTGGAGCCGGTCCTGGGGCTGGTCCTGGAGCGGTCTTTTGGCTTTAATCTTAGTTTTGCAGATGTCTCATTCTCTTCAGTGCAAACTTATGTGTGTAATTACACGTTAGAACCAGCAGAGTGCGGTGTTGTCCTGTAACTCAATGTGACCAGCTGCTGTGAGGGTCCAGAGAAGGAGTAATGTTTTAGAGACCAGAGAGAGACCAGAGAGACCAGAGAGACTAGAGAGACCGTAAGGTAGACTAAGTTAGGGTATTTGGATTTTATGACTTTATGACTTCATTTATGGTTTTAAAGTCAGGTACCTCAGCTTTAAAAAGGAGTATTTTTGACCCTAAAGCGGATGTTTCTCTCTCAGGTCAGTCGAATCCTCTACAGTTTCTCCACTGCTTTCCGTCGCTCGTCCAAACTCACAGACTCTGTGGACTCGACCCCAAGTACCTCCTCAGACCAAGACCAGTTCTGCTTCACTGTGGCCCTGGACATCAGAGAGGACGATGGAAAAGGGAACTACAGGTACCAGAAAGAGACCAGAGAGAGACCAGAGAGAGAGACCAGAGAGAGAGACCAGAGAGAGAGACCAGAGAGGGTCCAGAGAGGGTCCAGAGAGGGTCCAGAGAGGGTCCAGAGAGGGTCCAGAGTGAGACTCTTTGAGCAGTTTGTGAATGATTTTCATAACTCATTTAAAACTCTGTGGTTAAAATCACTGTGTATTATTATATTCCCTTTTTAAATTATCACCGTGGCAACCGGTAACTGGTATTGTGTCTGTTGCAGTTCGGTGCCAAAAGACAGAGACAAGTTCTACTTCAAACTTCGCCAAAGTGTCCAGAAGAAAGTGGTGGTGTCTGTCCAACAAGTCAGCAACAAGAAGCTGGGCATCGAGAGGTAAGATCAGAGCGAGACCAGAGGGAGACCAGAGGGAGACCAGAGCGAGACCAGAGCGAGACCAGAGCGAGACCAGAGCGAGACCAGAGCGAGACCAGAGCGAGACCAGAGCGAGACCAGAGCGAGACCAGAGCGAGACCAGAGCGAGACCAGAGAGAGACCAGAGAGAGACCAGAGGGAGACCAGAGGGAGACCAGAGGGAGACCAGAGGGAGACCAGAGGGAGACCAGAGGGAGACCAGAGGTAGACCAGAGGGAGACCAGAGCGAGGCCAGGAGGGAGGCCAGGAGGGAGGCCAGGAGGGAGGCCAGGAGGGAGGCCAGGAGGGAGGCCAGGAGGGAGAGACCAGAGGGGGACCGGACCTAGTGTCTCTCTCCTGGTGTCCCTCTCCTGGTGTCTCTCTCCTGGTTTCTCTCTCCTGATGTCTCTCTCCTGGTTTCTCTCTCCTGGTGTCTCTCTCCTGGTGTCTCTCCTGGTGTTTCTCTCCTGGTTTCTTTCTCCTGACGTCTCTCTCCTGGTGTCTCTCTCCTGGTGTCTCTCTCCTGGTGTCTCTCTCCTGGTGTTTCTCTCCTGGTTTCTTTCTCCTGGTGTCTCTCTCCTGGTGTCTCTCTCCTGGTGTCTCTCTCCTGGTGTCTCTCTCCTGGTGTCTCTCTCCTGGTGTTTCTCTCCTGGTTTCTTTCTCCTGGTGTCTCTCTCCTGACGTCTCTCTCCTGGTGTCTCTCTCCTGGTGTTTCTCTCCTGGTTTCTTTCTCCTGACGTCTCTCTCCTGGTGTCTCTCTCCTGGTGTCTCTCTCCTGGTGTCTCTCTCCTGGTGTTTCTCTCCTGGTTTCTTTCTCCTGGTGTCTCTCTCCTGGTGTCTCTCTCCTGGTGTCTCTCTCCTGGTGTCTCTCTCCTGGTGTCTCTCTCCTGGTGTTTCTCTCCTGGTTTCTTTCTCCTGGTGTCTCTCTCCTGACGTCTCTCTCCTGGTGTCTCTCTCCTGGTGTTTCTCTCCTGGTTTCTTTCTCCTGACGTCTCTCTCCTGGTGTTTCTCTCCTGGTTTCTTTCTCCTGGTGTCTCTCTCCTGGTGTCTCTCTCCTGGTGTCTCTCTCCTCTGGGACAGCCTTATCTGGGTCAAGTTCTCTCACCTGCGTAGCCGCGTCTGCCCTTCTCTCTCTGCTGAGTCGGCACAAACGCTGCAGCTCCAGTTTCATAGATCTGCCTCACATCCTTCTGGGTTTAGCCTCTTTTTACATCCATACACACACATACATACATACACACACATACATACACACATACAGTGCCTTGCGAAACCTTTCAACATTTTGCCACATTCCAGGCTTCAAACATAAAGATATAAAATTTTAATTTTTTGTCATGAATCAACAACAAGTGGGACACAATCGTGAAGTGGAACGAAATGTATTGGATAATTTAAACTTTTAAAACAAATAAACTGAAAAAATGGGGCGTGCAATATTATTCGGCCCCTTTACTTTCAGTGCAGCAAACTCAGTCCAGAAGTTCAGTGAGGATCTTTGAATGATCCAATGTTGTCCTAAATGACTGATGATGATAAATAGAATGTACCTGTGTGTAATCAAGTCTCCGTATAAATGCACCTGCTCTTTGATAGTCTCAGGGTTCTGTTTAAAGCACAGAGAGAACCATGAAGACAAAGGAACACACCAGGCAGGTCCGAGATACTGTTGTGGAGAAGTTTAAAGCCGGATTTGGATACAAAAAGATTTCCCTAGCTTTAAACATCTCAAGGAGCACTGTGCAAGCAATTATATTGAAATGGAAGGAGTATCAGACCACTGCAAATCTACCAAGACCCGGCCGTCCCTCCAAACTTTCATCTCAAACAAGGAGAAGACTGATCAGAGATGCAGCCAAGAGGCCCATGATCACTCTGGATGAACTGCAGATAACTACAGCTGAGGTGGGAGAGTCTGTCCATAGGACAACAATCAGTCGTGCACTGCACAAATCTGGCCTTTATGGAAGAGTGGCAAGAAGAAAGCCATTTCTCAAAGATATCCATAAAAAGTCTGGTTTAAAGTTTGCCACAAGCCACCTGGGAGACACACCAAACATGTGGAAGAAGGTGCTCTGGTCAGATGAAACCAAAATGGAACTTTTTGGCCACAACGCAAAACGATATGTTTGGCGTAAAAGCAACACAGCTCATCACCCTGAACACACCATCCCCACCTCAGCTGTAGTTATCTGCAGTTCATCCAGAGTGATCATGGGCCTCTTGGCTGCATCTCTGATCAGTCTTCTCCTTGTTTGAGATGAAAGTTTGGAGGGACGGCCGGGTCTTGGTAGATTTGCAGTGGTCTGATACTCCTTCCATTTCAATATAATTGCTTGCACAATGCTCCTTGAGATGTTTAAAGCTTGGGAAATCTTTTTGTATCCAAATCCGGCTTTAAACTTCTCCACAACAGTATCTCGGACCTGCCTGGTGTGTTCCTTTGTCTTCATGGTTCTCTCTGTGCTTTAAACAGAACCCTGAGACTATCAAAGAGCAGGTGCATTTATACGGAGACTTGATTACACACAGGTGCATTCTATTTATCATCATCAGTCATTTAGGACAACATTGGATCATTCAAAGATCCTCACTGAACTTCTGGACTGAGTTTGCTGCACTGAAAGTAAAGGGGCCGAATAATATTGCACGCCCCACTTTTCAGTTATTTGTTAAAAAAGTTTAAATTATCCAATAAATTTCGTTCCACTTCACGATTGTGTCCCACTTGTTGTTGATTCATGACAAAAAATTAAAATTTTATATCTTTATGTTTGAAGCCTGAAATGTGGCGAAATGTTGAAAGGTTCAAGGGGGCCGAATACTTTCGCAAGGCACTGTACATACACACATACATACATACACACATACATACATGCACACATACATACATACATACACACATACATACATACATACATACACACATACACACATACATACACACATACATACACACATACATACACACATACACACATACATGCACACATACATACACACATACATACATACACACATACATACATGCACACATACACACATACATACACACATACATACATACATACACACATACACACATACATGCACACATACATACACACATACATACATACGCACATACGCACATACATACATACATACAGTACATACATACACACATACAAAAAAAATATCTGGACATGTTCCGACCATGTTCAGACCATGTAGGTTTACATGGTTTCTACCGTTCTTAAGCACTCTGTCTATAATATAATATAATATATAATCTAATCCAAAATACTTGCTCAGATCTGAACCCCAGCCGCTGCAAACGCTGTACTTTAACCACTAGAACACGGTTCTTTCAATACAAGAGCTGCCCCAGAAAGGTTTTTAACTGTCAAGAACGTGGCAAGTTTAGCATCAGACAAAAAGTCACAACAGGTAGCTGTTGTAGCCTGTACAAGTCGACCGCTTGTGTCAAATCAGTCGGTCCTCGGGGGGCCGCCTGCCGGTTTGGGGGCCCCAGGCAGCTGCCTGCATTGACTGTTGGCACGGGACGCCTCTGGGGACGTGGCAAAAATGTGAGGATTTGATGGTCTTTTGATATTTGGGCCTCAAATAAAAAATGTTGTGATTCAAAGACAAACATGGAGGAACATAACACTCAACTCCACCATGTGAGTGAATACCATGTGAGTGAATACCATATGAGTAAATACCATGTGAGTAAACAGCATGTGAGTGAATACCATATGAGTAAAAACCATGTGAGTAAAAACCATGTGAGTAAACACCATATGAGTAAAAACCATGTGAGTAAAAATCATGTGAGTAAACACCATGTGAGTGAATACCATGTGAGGTCTCTGGTCTCTCTCCTGCAGGTGTTTCGGGATGCTGCTGAGTCCTGGACAGAAAGTCACCAACAGCGACATGCGTCTGTTAGAAATGGTGAGAAACTATACTCACAATACCATGTGTCAGTTTTACATGTTGGGTATTACATGTTGGGAGAGAGACCAGAGAGAGAGAGACCAGAGAGAGAGAGACCAGAGAGAGAGAGACCAGAGAGAGAGAGACCAGAGAGAGAGAGACCAGAGAGAGAGAGACCAGAGAGAGAGAGAGGGACCAGAGAGTGAGAGATCAGAGAGTGAGAGACCAGAGAGTGAGAGACCAGAGAGTGAGAGACCAGAGAGTGAGAGACCAGAGAGTGAGAGACCAGAGAGTGAGAGACCAGAGAGTGAGAGACCAGAGAGTGAGAGACCAGAGAGTGAGAGACCAGAGAGTGAGAGACCAGAGAGTGAGAGACCAGAGAGTGAGAGACCAGAGAGTGAGAGACCAGAGAGTGAGAGACCAGAGAGTGAGAGACCAGAGAGTGAGAGACCAGAGAGTGAGAGACCAGAGAGAGAAACCAGAGGGAGCGAGACCCGAGAGCGAGACCCGAGAGCGTGACCAGGGAGCGAGACCAGGGAGCGAGACCAGGGAGCGAGACCAGGGAGCGAGACCAGGGAGCGAGACCAGGGAGCGAGACCAGGGAGCGAGACCAGGGAGCGAGACCAGGGAGCGAGACCAGGGAGCGAGACCAGGGAGCGAGACCAGGGAGCGAGACCAGGGAGCGAGACCAGGGAGCGAGACCAGGGAGCGAGACCAGGGCTCACTCTAAGTCTACGTTCAACAGGAGTCGATGGGGAGAAGCTCTGATGGTAAAGCCTACGTCATCACAGGGAAGTGGAACCCCAACATGGCCGCCTTCCAGCCGCTGAACGAAGACACCCCCAAAGGTACGGCTCCCATTCAGGGGTTTTTCTCTGTGCAGTAAAACCACATTGGAATAAACGTGCGAGAGTCTGATGCTACCACAGGGTCATAACCTAAGGGCGGATTGATGATTTAAGTTAGAAAGACCAGAGAGACGGACCAGAGAGACGGACCAGAGAGACGGACCAGAGAGACGGACCAGAGAGACGGACCAGAGAGACAGACCAGAGAGAGACCAGAGAGACGGACCAGAGAGAGACCAGAGAGACGGACCAGAGAGACGGACCAGAGAGACGGACCAGAGAGACGGACCAGAGAGACGGACCAGAGAGACGGACCAGAGAGACGGACCAGAGAGACGGACCAGAGAGACGGACCAGAGAGACGGACCAGAGAGACAGACCAGAGAGAGACCAGAGAGACGGACCAGAGAGAGACGGACCAGAGAGAGACGGACCAGAGAGACGGACCAGAGAGACGGACCAGAGAGACGGACCAGAGAGACGGACCAGAGAGAGACCAGAGAGACGGACCAGAGAGACGGACCAGAGAGACGGACCAGAGAGACGGACCAGAGAGACGGACCAGAGAGACGGACCAGAGAGACGGACCAGAGAGACGGACCAGAGAGACGGACCAGAGAGACGGACCAGAGAGACGGACCAGAGAGACGGACCAGAGAGAGGACCAGAGAGGACCAGAGAGACGGACCAGAGAGACGGACCAGAGAGACGGACCAGAGAGACGGACCAGAGAGACGGACCAGAGAGACGGACCAGAGAGACAGACCAGAGAGACAGACCAGAGAGAGACCAGAGAGACGGACCAGGAGAGACGGACCAGAGAGAGACGGACCAGAGAGAGACGGACCAGAGAGAGACGGACCAGAGAGACGGACCAGAGAGAGACCAGAGAGACGGACCAGAGAGACGGACCAGAGAGACGGACCAGAGAGACGACAGAGAGACGGACCAGAGAGACGGACCAGAGAGAGAGACGGACCAGAGAGACGGACCAGAGAGACGGACCAGAGAGACGGACCAGAGAGACGGACCAGAGAGACGGACCAGAGAGACGGACCAGAGAGACGGACCAGAGAGACGGACCAGAGAGACGGACCAGAGAGACGGACCAGAGAGACGGACCAGAGAGACGGACCAGAGAGACGGACCAGAGAGACGGACCAGAGAGACGGACCAGAGAGACGGACCAGAGAGACGGACCAGAGAGACGGACCAGAGAGACGGACCAGAGAGACGGACCAGAGAGACGGACCAGAGAGACGGACCAGAGAGACGGACCAGAGAGACGGACCAGAGAGACGGACCAGAGAGACGGACCAGAGAGACGGACCAGAGAGACGGACCAGAGACACGGACCAGAGACACGGACCAGAGACACGGACCAGAGAGACGGACCAGAGAGAGACGGACCAGAGAGAGACGGACCAGAGAGAGACGGACCAGAGAGACGGACCAGAGAGACGGACCAGAGAGACGGACCAGAGAGACGGACCAGAGAGACGGACCAGAGAGACGGACCAGAGAGACGGACCAGAGAGACGGACCAGAGAGACGGACCAGAGAGACGGACCAGAGAGACGGACCAGAGAGACGGACCAGAGAGACGGACCAGAGAGAGACCAGAGAGACGGACCAGAGAGACGGACCAGAGAGACGGACCAGAGAGACGGACCAGAGAGACGGACCAGAGAGACGGACCAGAGAGACGGACCAGAGAGACGGACCAGAGAGACGGACCAGAGAGACGGACCAGAGAGACGGACCAGAGAGACTGACCAGAGAGACTGACCAGAGAGACGGACCAGAGAGACGGACCAGAGAGACGGACCAGAGAGACGGACCAGAGAGACGGACCAGAGAGAGACGGACCAGAGAGGCGGCACGGTGGCTGAGTGGATAGCACTCTCGCCTCTCAGCAAGAAGGTCCTGGGTTCGAATCCCAGTCGGACCAGGGCCTTTCTGAGTGGAGTTTGCATGTTCTCCCCGTGTCTGCGTAGGTTTCCTCCGGGTACTCCGGTTTCTCCTACCACTAAAAATATGTCCAATAGGTCTGGCATGCGCCTCCTGTACTGGCGACCCCGCTCCCATCTCTGTGTGGAGTGAGAGACAAATGCCCAAAATTAACAATTGTAAACCGCTTTGAGACTCAGATCTGCAGTGAAAAGGCGGTATATAAATAAAAACTTACTTACTTATAAGGGCATCTGGTGAGGCATTTATGCAGGCCAGCGCAGTGTGAGCTTCCCCAGGGATCCTTTCACAGTCTGGTATGGAAAGGTGTCATGGTCTTCTCCACAGCCTTCCCTCAGATGCAGACCATGGCTTTTCTTACCCGTTCTAGGGAGTAGAAATATAAAATATTTTTAGCCATTATTACACTCACAGGGTGTGGACCAAGCTGCCTGGCTGTATTCCCCCACACCTGGTACCACTTTCCTGATGGGGCTCGTGCCACTCCCATGGGGTTGCATGTTGGAGTGAATTGGCTTGAAGGTTTTCTCCGCTTGAAGTTTACTTTTAGCCCGTCCGTTTGTGAGAGGATTCTCTACTGCTCTCCCTGTCGCACAGAAAAATAAAAATACAAGTGGCCTTTAGGGGAAAAAAATCATACATATTTTAATAATATCAAGAATTACCTTCAGGCTCAATTTGTATCTGGTCGAGGCTCTTTCCTTTGAATTCCGTCACTCTTCCCTGCTCCATGGCCATCAACACTTTGCTGATTTTGGCCAGCTCCAGTGTCCCCTCTGGTAGTCTGTAATATTGCCTGTGGATGCGAATGTCATGGCCGAGGAAGTTGGCAAGTATGTCCATCTCATTCTCTTTCATATTGAGAACTGTAGACATAGTAGCTATGTGCTTTCTAAGTTTGGTTGAGGATAGCATCTCTGGATGCACCGCACCACATTCTTTGGCTACCTGGCGTAGGGAGTCTGATCCCCTGATGTGGGTGTCTGCGCCCGGGCGGGAAAAGAAGTATGGGTTATGGTCAGAGATGGAACAGGCCCTTCTGTTCTCCACCAGCACCTCCATCGAAGCAATCATTTCAGGAGTCAAAAGAACCGGCACTTTCCGACTTCTTTTCCCTTTAATTTCAATGCGTTGAAAATGCTGACACAGCTTTTTCTCAAGTTGGGACAGTCCCAGAGCAATGTCAGAATGGATCCCAGTCTTACTTCTTAAGGTAAAGGCTGTCAGTGGCATCTTTGAAACCTCACCTTCCCTTCTTCGATTGAAAATGATGACCTCACAAAGAGTCAAAACTGCCAGTTTAGACCAATGCTTAGACGTTGGCTCACTTATTAGGGTTTGCACATATTCAGGTCGACATACCTCAATATGTGCATGCATGGCTCTAACGTCCTCAGTCAGAGGGAGCAGGTCCGGAGTGTTCCACTTGGCTTGCCGGAGGGTCTGTAGGGCAGCAGAAGAAACACAGACGTCCCACCTCTTCTCAAAAAGCAGCCGGCTTCGTTGGAGGTTTTTAATAAATAGTTCATCAACACAATGCTCCATTTTTGAGTCACATTCAAGAATATCTGCTAGCTTTCTGAGGCTATGGCCGAGTTTGAGGGCCAAGGATGGAGTCTTGTATTGATTTGTTTCCTCATCATATCCAGCCACAGACCTGACTGCATCAATCACATGGTTAAAGTTGGAAGGAATAAAGAAATCCTTAATTGTTTTCAGTTTCCCTGCGGTTTTTGCTTCGTTAATTAACCTACCGACTTCTCTCATTTTCTGCCTAATGTAATCATGCTTTGTCTTATCATGCCCGTGTTTTAAGTACAGGTGCTCTCCGAGTCTCAGAATCCCCTTTTCTGCTTTGACAACACCCGTGACCTCATCCTGATGCATTGCCGAAATTAAAGACCACAGCTTTTTGCTGATGCCCTCCGGTACAGGCTGGGCTAGGGAGCAGAGGGACTGGACCCTACTTCTACCTGGTTTAGCCTGGGCATCTTTCTGTGAAAGCCGGCACCTGGCCACATGCCTCCACAGCGACTTTCGCTTAAGCAATGCCCCACAGTCTATACAGTGCAAAAACTCACTGGATTTAACTGGGGAATTTGGCTGTTTAGCTGGGACTAAAGTTCCAATGCCGGCCTTTAAAACCTCAAAATTGTGCTCACGGTTTCCACTATTCCTGATCAAATCAAACTGAAGTTTACGTGCTTTAGATTTCACAGGTAGAGCCAATGCTCTGGCTACGTCACTTTCATTTCCATGTTTTCTAGTCAAATGACGGGACATTTTGTGGCAGGACATTGAACAGTAGAGGCAGAAGTGTCTCTTGCTGTATACTCGCCCCCCATTTTTCTTCTTTTGCAGCTGCATGATAACAATCTTATTTGCCTTTGGTTCGTCACTTTCCGAGTCTTGAAGAAAAGTGTTTTTGATTTTTCTTTTTCCATACTTTTTTACAGGTTTCTTCTTGACAGTTAAATCGTCAGAATCTGAGTCGACTTCATCAATTAGGGACTCTTGACTAAGCTGCACAAACAACAAATAATTTGTAATCATTCTATATAACAATTTGAAGTCATGACTTGTAGTCAGCACTTACCAGTGGTTTGTAAGCGTGCGCTTCAGTGTGCTCCTCCATGATTTCTTGCTCTCTGGTCTCTCTCTGGTCTCTCTCTCTGGTCTCTCTCTGGTCTCTCTCTGGTCTCTCTCTCTGGCCTCTCTCTGGTCTCTCTCTGGCCTCTCTCTGGCCTCTCTCTGGTCTCTCTCTGGCCTCTCTCTCTGGCCTCTCTCTGGTCTCTCTCTGGCCTCTCTCTGGTCTCTCTCTGGCCTCTCTCTGGTCTCTCTCTGGCCTCTCTCTGGTCTCTCTCTGGTCTCTCTCTGGTCTCTCTCTCTCTGGTCTCTCTCTGGTCTCTCTCTCTCTGGTCTCTCTCTGGTCTCTCTCTGGTCTCTCTCTGGTCTCTCTCTGGTCTCTCTCTGGTCTCTCTCTGGTCTCTCTCTGGTCTCTCTCTCTCTGGTCTCTCTCTGGTCTCTCTCTCTGGTCTCTCTCTGGCCTCTCTCTGGTCTCTCTCTGGTCTCTCTCTGGTCTCTCTCTGGTCTCTCTCTGGTCTCTCTCTGGTCTCTCTCGCTCTGGTCTCTCTCTGGTCTCTCTCTGGTCTCTCTCTGGTCTCTCTCTGGTCTCTCTCTCTCTGGTCTCTCTCTGGTCTCTCTCTGGTCTCTCTCTCTCTGGTCTCTCTCTGGTCTCTCTCTCTCTGGTCTCTCTCTGGTCTCTCTCTGGTCTCTCTCTCTCTGGTCTCTCTCAGGTCTCTCTCTGGTCTCTCTCTGGTCTCTCTCTGGTCTCTCTCTGGTCTCTCTCTGGTCTCTCTCTGGTTTCTCTCTGGTCTCTCTCTGGTCTCTCTGGTCTCTCTCTCTCTGGTCTCTCTCAGGTCTCTCTCTGGTCTCTCTCTGGTCTCTCTCTGGTCTCTCTCTGGTCTCTCTCAGGTCTCTCTCTGGTCTCTCTCTGGTCTCTCTCAGGTCTCTCTCAGGTCTCTCTCTCTGGTTTCTCTCTGGTCTCTCTCTATCCCTAACCACTGTCTCTGTTCAGGCAGGGGAACCTAGGCTCCCGTCCTAAGGGCCTGCCGGGTCTGGTCCGGTCTGGGATCCCGGAGCCGCTCAGGGCCGAGGTCTGGCAGCTGCTCGCCGGTTGCCACGACAACCACGACCTCCTGGAACAATACCGCATCCTCATCACGAAGGTAGGACCGCTTTAACCTGTTCAGTGTTGCCATTTTACACACGCAAAGAAAAGGACGCAGAAGAAGAAGGTTTTGTTAGATTTAAAGGGACAGAGGAGGATTTTCTCAACTTTAAAGGAGCAGAATGTAAGAATGTGGCCAAAAGTGGTACTGCAGCCTCTCCCACTCTCCCTGACTCAGGTTGCCAGATATGCAGACGAATCCAGCTGGGACCATAACAGCTGAATAGACAAGAGTTTTGTCAACAACAAATCTATAACCAACACCTTTTTCACAAAGGTGGTCTCTCTCTGGCCTCTCTCTGGTCTCTCTCTGGCCTCTCTCTCTGGCCTCTCTCTGGCCTCTCTCTGGTCTCTCTCTGGTCTCTCTCTCTGGCCTCTCTCTGGCCTCTCTCTGGTCTCTCTCTGGTCTCTCTCTGGGCTCTCTCTGGTCTCTCTCTGGCCTCTCTCTGGTCTCTCTCTGGTCTCTCTCTGGTCTCTCTCTGGTCTCTCTCTGGTCTCTCTCTCTGGTCTCTCTCTGGTCTCTCTCTGGTCTCTCTCTGGTCTCTCTCTGGTCTCTCTCTGGTCTTCTGGTCTCTCTCTCTGGCCTCTCTCTGGTCTCTCTCTGGTCTCTCTCTGGCCTCTCTCTCTGGCCTCTCTCTGGTCTCTCTCTGGCATCTCTCTGGTCTCTCTCTGGCCTCTCTCTGGTCTCTCTCTGGTCTCTCTCTGGTCTCTCTCTCTCTGGTCTCTCTCTGGTCTCTCTCTGGTCTCTCTCTGGTCTCTCTCTGGTCTCTCTGGTCTCTCTCTGGTCTCTCTCTGGTCTCTCTCTCTGGCCTCTCTCTGGTCTCTCTCTCTCTGGTCTCTCTCTCTCTGGTCTCTCTCTGGTCTCTCTCTGGTCTCTCTCTGGTCTCTCTCTGGTCTCTCTCTGGTCTCTCTCTCTGGTCTCTCTCTCTGGTCTCTCTCTCTGGTCTCTCTCTGGTCTCTCTCTGGTCTCTCTCTCTCTCTGGTCTCTCTCTCTGGTCTCTCTCTCTGGTCTCTCTCTGGTCTCTCTCTGGTCTCTCTCTGGTCTCTCTCTGGTCTCTCTCTCTCCGGTCTCTCTCTGGTCTCTCTCTGGTCTCTCTCTGGTCTCTCTCTGGTCTCTCTCTGGTCTGGTCTCTCTCTGGTCTCTCTCTGGTCTCTCTCTGGTCTCTCTCTGGTCTCTCTCTGGTCTCACTCTGGTTCTCTCTTGGTCTCTCTCTGGTCTCTCTCTGGTCTCTCTCTCTCCCGGTCTCTCTCTGGTCTCTCTCTGGTCTCTCTCTGGTCTCTCTTTGGTCTCTCTCTCTTCACCTTTCCACTCAGATGCTTCAGGTGCTTCTGACGGGTTTTTCACTCGAGCGCGGATGTGGACCAATTAGATTGAGAGTGAGAGAGAGAGACCAGAGTCAGAGAGAGAGACCAGAGAGATGGAGAGACGAGAGAGAGAGAGACTAGATAGAGAGAGAGAGACCAGAGAGAGTCCATGTTCAGAGCTGCGTCTGTCTTGTCGCAAGACAATCGGTGTGGTTTGGCTAACGACTGTGCTAACGACTGTGCTAACGACTGTGCTAACGACTGTGCTAACGACTGTGCTAACGACTGTGCTAACGGCTGTGCTAACGGCTGTGCTAACGGCTGTGCTAGCGGCTGTGCTAGCGGCTGTGCTAGCGGCTGTGCTAACGGCTGTGCTAACGGCTGTGCTAACGGCTGTGCTAACGGCTGTGCTAACGGCTGTGCTAGCGGCTGTGCTAGCGGCTGTGCTAGCGGCTGGTTTGCCGGAGTGCAGTGATGGTGACACAGAGGCCGGCGTCCGGCTATAAATAGCAGAGCGGGAAGAATGGCGGCTCCACAGCAGCAGACCGTCTCCATGGCTGCGGTCTGGACGTTTCCTATAACCACGGCTGCAGCGGCGGCGGTGTCACTGTGGGAGGAGCTACGGCTGGTTGGGATCATAACAAAGCACTGGCTGAGAGAGAGAGAGAGAAAGAGAGAGAGAGAGAAAGAGAGAGAGAGAGAAAGAGAGAGAGAGAGACCAGAGAGACCAGAGAGAGAGAGACCAGAGAGAGAGAGAGAGAGAGAGAGAGAGAGAGACCAGAGAGAGACCAGAGAGAGAGAGAGACCAGAGAGAGAGACCAGAGAGAGAGAGACCAGAGAGAGAGAGAGAGAGACCAGAGAGAGAGAGAGACCAGAGAGAGAGAGAGAAAGAGAGAGAGAGAGACCAGAGAGACCAGAGAGAGAGACCAGAGAGAGAGACCAGAGAGAGAGAGACCAGAGAGAGAGAGAGACCAGAGAGAGAGAGAGAAGAGAGAGAGAGAGAGACCAGAGAGAGAGAGAGAGAGAGAGACCAGAGAGAGAGAGAGAGACCAAGAGAGAGAGAGAGAGACCAGAGAGAGAGAGAGACCAAGAGAGAGAGAGAGAGAGACAGAGGAGAGAGAGAGACCAGAGAGAGAGAGAGAGAAAGAGAGAGAGAGAGAGAAAGAGAGAGACCAGAGAGAGAGACCAGAGAGAGAGAGAGACCAGAGAGAGAGAGAGACCAGAGAGAGAGAGAGAGACCAGAGAGAGAGAGAGAGACCAGAGAGAGAGAGACCAGCGAGAGAGAGAGACCAGCGAGAGAGAGAGACCAGAGAGAGAGAGAGAGACCAGAGAGAGCGAGACCAGAGAGAGAGAGACCAGAGAGAGAGACCAGAGAGAGAGAGAGACCAGAGAGAGAGAGAGACCAGAAAGAGAGAGAGAGAGAGACCAGAGAGAGAGAGAGAGACCAGAGAGAGAGAGACCAGAGAGAGGGAGAAACCAGAGAGAGGGAGAAACCAGAGAGAGACCAGAGAGAGAGACCAGAGAGAGAGACCAGAGAGAGAGACCAGAGAGAGAGACCAGAGAGAGAGACCAGAGAGAGAGACCAGAGAGAGAGAGACCAGAGAGAGAGACCAGAGACCAGAGAGAGGGAGAAACCAGAGAGAGACCAGAGAGAGAGAGAGAAACCAGAGAGAGAGAGAGACCAGAGAGAGAGAGAGACCAGAGAGAGAGACCAGAGAGAGAGACCAGAGAGAGAGAGACCAGAGAGAAAAACCAGAGAGAGAGAGACCAGAGAGAGAGACCAGAGAGAGAGACCAGAGAGAGAGACCAAAGAGAGAGAGAGACCAGAGAGAGAGAGACCAGAGAGAGAGAGACCAGAGAGAGGGAGAAACCAGAGAGAGAGAGAGACCAGAGAGAGAGACCAGAGAGAGAGACCAGAGAGAGAGAGACCAGAGAGAGAGACCAGAGAGAGAGACCAGAAAGAGAGACCAGAGAGAGAGAGACCAGAGAGAGAGAGAGAGACCAGAGAGAGACCAGAGAGAGGGAGAAACCAGAGAGAGACCAGAGAGAGGGAGAAACCAGAGAGAGAGAGAGACCAGAGAGAGAGACCAGAGAGAGAGACCAAAGAGAGAGAGACCAGAGAGAGAGAGAGACCAGAGAGAGAGAGACCAGAGAGAGAGACCAGAGAGAGAGACCAGAGAGAGAGAGAGACCAGAGAGAGAGACCAGAGAGAGAGACCAGAGAGAGAGACCCGAGAGAGAGACCCGAGAGAGAGACCAGAGAGAGAGACCAGAGAGAGACCAGAGAGAGAGCACAGCTCTCTGACGCCTGTGTAAAGACCCTGTAGCTCAGACCCTGTGTTTGGGCCTCAGTCCCAGTTCTCTCCTGTTCATTCAGTCTCTGCCGCGGGGGGTTTCTCTCTCTGTCCTCCTGACATTTGCACAACCTTTTCCCTCAACCCCGAAGCCACTGAGCCACAGTGCTACCTCAGTCCTGGGTCTACAGCCTCAGTCCTGGGTCTACAGCCTCAGTCCTGGGTCTACAGTCTCAGTCCTGGGTCTACAGCCTCAGTCCTGGGTCTACAGCCTCAGTCCTGGGTCTACAGTCTCAGTCCTGGGTCTACAGCCTCAGTCCTGGGTCTACAGTCTCAGTCCTGGGTCTACAGCCTCAGTCCTGGGTCTACAGTCTCAGTCCTGGGTCTACAGCCTCAGTCCTGGGTCTACAGCCTCAGTCCTGGGTCTACAGTCTCAGTCCTGGGTCTACAGCCTCAGTCCTGGGTCTACAGTCTCAGTCCTGGGTCTACAGCCTCAGTCCTGGGTCTACAGTCTCAGTCCTGGGTCTACAGCCTTAGTCCTGGGTCTACAGTCTCAGTCCTGGGTCTACGGCCTCAGTCCTGGATCTACAGCCTCAGTCCTGGGTCTACGGCCTCAGTCCTGGGTCTACAGCCTCAGTCCTGGGTCTACAGGCTCAGTCCTGGATCTACAGCCTCAGTCCTGGGTCTACGGCCTCAGTCCTGGATCTACAGCCTCAGTCCTGGGTCTACAGCCTCAGTCCTGGGTCTACAGCCTCAGTCCTGGGTCTACGGCCTCAGTCTTGGGTCTACGGCCTCAGTCCTGGGTCTACAGCCTCAGTCCTGGGTCTACAGCCTCAGTCCTGGGTCTACAGCCTCAGTCCTGGGTCTACAGCCTCAGTCCTGGGTCTACAGCCTCAGTCCTGGGTCTACAGCCTCAGTCCTGGGTCTACAGCCTCAGTCCACAGATATTTGGTGATTACAGCTTCTCGGTGTAATCAAAGGTAGCATCGGCTCGCCCACGCGCTCACGGGGGAGAGAGAGGGAGGAAGGGAGGGGGAGGAGAGGGACGGGGGAGATGGGGGGAGACCTGTCGCCATGACGATCACATCTCATCAACCACTGTGCTCTGGAGGCTGTGATGACAGGTGGGCAGCAGAGGAGCTACTTTACTTACTGCTTTCTGCTCCTCCTCCTCATCCTCCCCCTCTCTTGCCTACTTGCCTCCTCTCTTTCCTCTGCTCATCCTCCTCTGCTCCTCTTCCTCTGCTCCTCTTCCTCTGCTCCTCTTCCTCTGCTCCTCTTCCTCCTCTGCTCCTTTTCCTCCTCTACTCCTCTTCCTCCTCCTCCTCAGCTCCTCTTCCTTTATTAGTTTATATCTGTCCCACCCTTGGGTCCAGCGGCCACCTGTGGTCCTGCAGAGACCCCGACAGAGACCCTGACAGAGACCCCGACACAGCCCCTGACAGAGACCCCAACAGAGACCCTGACAGAGACCCCGACAGAGACCCTGACAGAGACCCCGACAGAGACCCCGACAGAGACCCTGACAGAGACCCCGACAGAGACCCCGACAGAGACCCCGACAGAGACCCTGACAGAGACCCCGACAGAGACCCCGACAGAGACCCTGACAGAGACCCCGACAGAGACCCTGACAGAGACCCCGACAGAGACCCCGACAGAGACCCCGACAGAGACCCTGACAGAAACCCCAACAGAGACCCCGACAGAGACCCCGACAGAGACTCCGACAGAGACTCCGACAGACAGAGACTCCGACAGACTCCGACAGAGACCCCGACAGAGACCCCGACAGAGACCCCGACAGAGACCCCGACAGAGACCCCGACAGAGACCCCGACAGAGACTCCGACAGAGACCCCGACAGAGACTCCGACAGAGACTCCGACAGAGACCCCGACAGAGACCCCGACAGAGACCCCGACAGAGACCCCGACAGAGACCCCGACAGAGACCCCGACAGAGACTCCGACAGAGACCCCGACAGAGACCCCGACAGAGACCCCGACAGAGACCCCGACAGAGACCCCGACAGAGACCCCGACAGAGACCCCGACAGAGACCCCGACAGAGACCCTGAGACCCTTTCCTAAACGAGGATTCTGTGGATGTTTCTTTCATTGTCTTCAAAATGTTTTCTTGTTAAATCATTTTTCTATGAATCCACTTCAGTGAAACAAACTGCTCTGATTGGTCAGAACGCTGCCCTCTGATTGGTCAGAACGCTGCTCTCTGATTGGCCCTGTCAGCAGTCCTGGTCAGTGACAGACATGTATAAATAAACTTACTCAGCTCTAATCCTTCTGTGGTGATAAACTGCTGTAGCCACAGCTGCCCTGGGACACACTGGCTGAAGCGAGGCGACCAGTCTGTTGTAATCTGAGCTGAACGCATTAAAGAGAGTCAGATTTACTCATTTAATTGAATTGAATGTATTTGTGCTTCGCCCTAAACCACAGTCGTCTCAGAGGAGTTTACAAAGTTGTGGATTCACCAACAACAGATCAGAGAATCAGAAACGGGGTCATAAGGACGACCGAGACCCTCTGCCTCAGAGAGACCCAGAGTTACAGGCTCAGATCCTGCAGAGTCTCAGAGTCTCTCCCTCTGACAGATAAACTCCACATCATATGTTTAAGTCCCTGACTCTGCCACTGTCAGAGGAGCATTAAAGCACAGCTGCATTAGCATCTCTGAGCCGAGGCCGGATTAGCAACAGCCTCAACACGTTAGCTTCAGCGCGCACTCACACACTCTGACACACAGAATACATTCACAATGATGTGGTGTCTCTCTCTCTCTGGTCTCTCTCTGGTCTCTCTCTGGTCTCTCTCTGGGCTCTCTCTGGTCTCTCTCTGGTCTCTCTCTGGTCTCTCTCTGGTCTCTCCCTCTGGTCTCTCTCTGGGCTCTCTCTCTGGTCTCTCTCTGGTCTCTCTCTGGGCTCTCTCTCTGGTCTCTCTCTGCTCTCTCTCTGGTCTCTCTCTCTGGTCTCTCTCTCTCTCTCTCTCTGGTCTCTCTCTGGGCTCTCTCTCTGGTCTCTCTCTGGTCTCTCTCTCTGGTCTCTCTCTGGTCTCTCTCTGGTCTCTCTCTCTCTGGTCTCTCTCTCTGGTCTCTCTCTGGTCTCTCTCTCTCTCTGGTCTCTCACTCTCTGGTCTCTCTCTCTCTGGTCTCTCACTCTCTGGTCTCTCTCTCTCTGGTCTCTCTCTGGCCTCTCTCTGGTCTCTCTCTGGCCTCTCTCTGGTCTCTCTCTGGTCTCTCTCTGGTCTCTCTCTGGCCTCTCTCTGGTCTCTCTCTGGTCTCTCTCTCTGGTCTCTCTCTCTGGTCTCTCTCTGGTCTCTCTCTCTGGTCTCTCTCTGGTCTCTCTCTGGTTTCTCTCTCTCTCTCTGGTCTCTCACTCTCTGGTCTCTCTCTGGCCTCTCTCTGGTCTCTCTCTCTCTGGTGTCTCTCTCTCTGGTCTCTCTCTGGTCTCTCTCTCTCTGGTGTCTCTCTCTCTGGTCTCTCACTCTCTGGTCTCTCTCTCTCTGGTCTCTCTCTCTGGCCTCTCTCTGGTCTCTCTCTCTGGCCTCTCTCTGGTCTCTCTCTGGTCTCTCTCTCTCTGGTCTGCCTCTCTCTGGTCTCTCTCTGGTCTATCTCTCTCTGTTCTCTCTCTCTGGTCTTTGGTCTCTCTCTCTTGTCTGCCTTTCTCTGGTCTCTCTCTCTCTGGTGTCTCTCTCTCTGGTCTCTCTCTCTCTGGTCTCTCTCTCTCTGGTCTCTCTCTCTGGTGTCTCTCTCTCTGGTCTCTCTCTCTCTGGTCTCTCTCTCTCTGGTGTCTCTCTCTCTGGTCTCTCTCTCTCTGGTCTCTCTCTCTCTGGTCTCTCTCTCTCTGGTCTCTTTCTCTCTGGTCTCTCTCTTGTCTCTCTCTGGTCTCTCTCTCTGGCCTCTCTCTTGTCTCTCTCTGGTCTCTCTCTCTCTGGCCTCTCTCTGGTGTCTCTCTCTCTGGTCTCTCTCTCTCTGGTCTCTCTCTCTCTGGTCTCTCTCTCTCTGGCCTCTCTCTGTTCTCTCTGGTCTTTCTCTCTCTCTGGCCTCTCTGGTCTCTCTCTCTCTGGTCTCTCTCTGGTGTCTCTCTCTGGTCTTTCTCTCTCTCTGGCCTCTCTGGTCTCTCTCTCTCTGGTCTCTCTCTGGTGTCTCTCTCTCTGTTCTCTCTCTCTATAACAGTTCAGTCTAGCTTCACAGTATTTAAGGTGGTATTGGGTCACACTGACGGCCCACTGCTTGATAATCACTGACTCACTCGTATTTAACAGCAGCTAATGTAGGGAGGGAGAGAGAGCGAGACCAGAGAGAGCGAGACCGAGACCAGAGAGAGAGAGCAAGACCAGAGAGAGAGAGCGAGAGACCGAGACCAGAGAGAGAGAGCGAGAGAGCAGAGGGACCTTCAGGACCAAGGACAGAGCCGGTGCAGAGACTGGAGGAGACTTCAGCACATGATGGATGAGCTCTCTGTGACCTCAGGCTCAGACACCAACTGTGACCAGAGCTGGTTTTAGACTCAGGTCCTTTCACTCACTGAGCTGACCACAACGAGACTCATTTGTACATTTGTAGTCCGCGTTCTACTCTCTCTGGTCTCTCTCTGGTCTCTCTCTGGTCACTCTCTGGTCTCTCTCTGGTCTCTCTCTGGTCTCTCTCTGGTCACTCTCTGGTCACTCTCTGGTCACTCTCTGGTCTCTCTCTGGTCTCTCTCTAGTCTTTCTCTCTGGTCTCTCTCTGGTCACTCTCTGGTCTCTCTCTGGTCACTCTCTGGTCTCTCTCTCTGGTCTCTCTCTGGTCTCTCTCTGGTCTCTCTCTGGTCACTCTCTGGCCTCTCTCTGGTCTCTCTCTCTGGTCTCTCTCTGGTGTCTCTCTGGTCTCTCTCTCTGGTCTCTCTCTGGTCTCTCTCTAGTCTCTCTCTGGTCTCTCTCTGGTCTCTCTCTGGTCTCTCTCTGGTCTCTCTCTGGTCACTCTCTGGTCTCTCTCTGGTCACTCTCTGGTCTCTCTCTGGTCACTCTCTGGTCTCTCTCTCTGGTCTCTCTCTGGTCTCTCTCTGGTCTCTCTCTCTGGTCTCTCTCTGATCTCTCTCCCTGGTCTCTCTCTGGTCTCTCTCTGGTCTCTCTCTGGTCTCTCTCTGGTCTCTCTCTGGTCTCTCTCTGGTCTCTCTCTGGTCTCTCTCTGGTCTCCCTCTGGTCTCTCTCTGGTCTCCCTCTGGTCTCTCTCTGGTCTCCCTCTGGTCTCTCTCTGGTCTCTCTCTGGTCTCCCTCTGGTCTCTCTCTGGTCACCTGCAGCTCCTGGTGCTGCCTGCGTTTGAGCAGAATTAATAATTTAGTTTGTCCTTTTGCTGCTGTTTGTTCTGAGTGTCCACCTCCACAACAGCAAAGAGAGAGAGAGACCTGGGCTGTAGAGTAGAGTAGAGTAGAGTAGAGTAGAGTAGAGTAGAGTAGAGTAGAGTAGAGTAGAGTAGAGTAGAGTAGAGTAGAGTAGAGTAGAGTAGAGTAGAGTAGAGTAGAGTAGAGTAGAGTAGAGTAGAGCAGAGCAGTTTACTGGGATAGTCTTGCACAGTTTTTCCACTAATGGCATATCAATTCTTGAATCTTGAATGTCTCTGTCTCTGTCTCTGTCTCTGTCTCTGTCTCTGCCTCTGTCTCTGTCTCTGCCTCTGCCTCTGCCTCTGTCTCTGTCCCTGCCTCTGCCTCTGCCTCTGCCTCTGCCTCTGCCTCTGCCTCTGCCTCTGCCTCTGTCTCTGCCTCTGTCTCTGTCTCTGTCTCTGTCTCTGCCTCTGTCTCTGCCTCTGCCTCTGCCTCTGCCTCTGCCTCTGTCTCTGCCTCTGTCTCTGTCTCTGTCTCTGCCTCTGTCTCTGTCTCTGCCTCTGTCTCTGTCTCTGTCTCTGTCTCTGTCTCTGCCTCTGTCTCTGTCTCTGTGTTGTAAATAAAGCAGAGATAGGGGACCCGCTGTGCTTCCTGGTCCAGTGGAAAAAGAGAATGTCAAATGCTCTGCTGGTCTGTGATCTGTGCTCCATGTTTGTCCTGGCAGTTTGGTGGCAGTGCAATAGTTTTAAAATAATTCATTTGTGTTTGATATTATATTTGCTCATGAGTCTCATCTTTCATGGTTGTGATTCAGAAATGATTTAAACGACAGAAATCTTGACTAGAGAATATTTTTAAGCTTTGTCAATGTAACTTTTTGGTCTCTCTCTGGTCTCTCTCTGGTCTCTCTCTGGTCTCCCAGGTCTCTCTCTGGTCTCTCTCTCTGGTCTCTCTCGCAGGTCTCTCTCTGGTCTCTCTCTGGTCTCTCTCTCTGGTCTCTCTCGCAGGTCTCTCTCCCTGGTCTCTCCCTGGTCTCTCCCTGGTCTCTCCCTGGTCTCTCTCTGGTCTCTCTCTGGTCTCTCTCTGGTCTCTCTGTTCTCTCCCTGGTCTCTCCCTGGTCTCTCTCTGGTCTCTCTCTGGTCTCTCTCTGGTCTCTCTGTTCTCTCTCTGGTCTCTCCCTGGTCTCTCTCTGGTCTCTCTCTGGTCGCTCTCTGGTCTCTCTCTGGTCTCTCTCTGGTCTCTCTTTGGTCTCTCTTTGGTCTCTCTTTGGTCTCTCTCTGGTCTCTCTCTGGTCTCTCTCTGGTCTCTCTCTGGTCTCTCTCTGGTCTCTCTCTGGTCTCTCTCTGGTCCCTCTCAGTCTCTTACTCTTTCACTTATGGTCCTGTTAGAAACCAATGCAAACGCTCTAATCGCTGTGAGGCAGATCAGTAATGCAGCAGGAAATGTATCCAAACTGACCTCTGTGTGTGTGTGTGTGTGTGTGTGTGTGTGTGCCTGTGTGTGTGTGTGTGTGCAAGCCTCTTTTTGTGCGTGAGTGTGTGCGCCTTTCTCTGTGTGTGGTGTGCCTTTTTGTCTGTGTGTATTCATGTGTGTGTGTGTGTGTGCGCGCGTGCGTGTGTGTGCGTGCGTGTGTGTCTGTGTTTGTGTGTAAGCAGTAGACAGCAGTGAAAGGGAAAACGCAGAGGAGAGGAGGGGGTGTGTCTAGCACCGTAACATTGGCCGTGCGAGATACAGTCACAGTGAGAAGAGAGAGAGAGAGAGAGAGAGGGGAGGTGGAGAGAGAGAGAGAGGGGAGGTGGAGAGAGAGAGAGAGGGAGAGAGAGGGGGAGGGAGGGGAGAGAGAGCGAAGGACCAGGCGACCACATCGTCTCTGCCTTCACTGCAGCAGGACCGGCAGCTCCATCCCCATCTGCATCCCCTCCTTTCTGTTCATTTCTCTTCCTCACTCCCCCTTCTTCCTCCTGCACGCGCTCAGACCTGCTCACACGCCGTTCGCCGCCGGCTGCGGATTGCATCATTTACACCACAGACCCCCCCCACCGCCCGCACCCTCCCCCTCCCTCCAACAGTCCCATCTCTTTCCTGGAATGCGATTGCTTGCGGGACTTTCGCTGTCTGCTGCCGGACGCTCGCGGGTCTTTGGGAGCGGGACGGCGACTGATCCAGCAGGAAGTTAAAGGGAGGGGGTGGTTTGTTTCTGTTTGAGGATTGCTGAGGAGTTGAAAGTGAGCGGAGCGCTGAGTTTGTTCAGTCGGCCTCTCGGATCCTCCTGGAGAGTCCTTCCCCTGCCCTCCCGCCGCTGCCGTCACCTGCGTCCACATTCATCAACTCTGTGCTGTTGGCGGCGTCCTTGTGACCAGCCGCATGTGTCCCGCGCCGGCTGCCACACTATCAAATGTGGCCGTCCCCTTGTTATTCCAGCCCACGTCTGTGTTTTGATTTTGACAATAGCTGGGCATAACACGGGCTCCGGACGTGGAGCAGCGGACTGCCCAAACACCACTGGGCTGCACCACTCGGGCCAAACGCTGGAAGGATCACAACTTGGTGGATTTTTGTCTGTTGTGTCTTTATTACAACAAAAGGACACATTTACAACCACTCATCTGTTTCCTGTGGGACTATGAAGCAAGACTATGAAGCAAGACTATGTGCGTGAGTGGATTTATACATGCTAAAATGGATCCCAGTGGTGTCAGAAGTGTGATCTGATCCCGACACAGAGTCAAAGCCTCAGAGTGAGCTGCTGTCAGACTCTGAAGCTGCTGGGAATGTGGCAGACACTGAGCTCTGCGTTAGTGTTTTTTCCCCCTCTCCGCTCTCTAACCATGAGTGATTGGAGCTGCGCGCGGGTCGCCCGATCCTCCCAGAGGCTGTATCGATTCCCTCGCACGTCTGTTTGATTGAGAACCAGCGATGTGAAAAGTGCGAGCAGTGCGTCTGGCGAAACAGCGGAAAATAAAGAGGCAGAAAACAACGAGGGGTGGCGGCGGACGGCTCCAGTTTCACACCGTACTGCCTTACGGCGCCACAAAGGATACCTTGCACCCGCCGACATGAACCAGTCTGTGGTGTTGGTGAACCCAGGGCCCACTGCCAACTCCAGCCGCGGGGATCTGCTCTCTGCCCGCCTCAACCACTCCTGCCCTCTAGGCTGGGGCCTGAACCAGGGCCTGGAGGCGTGCATCCTGGAGACGGCGGTGATCGTGCTGCTCACAGTCCTCATAATCGCAGGAAACGTCACCGTGATCTTCGTGTTCCATTGCGCGCCGCTGCTGCACCACTACACCACCAGCTACTTCATCCAGACCATGGCGTACGCGGACCTCCTGGTGGGACTCAGCTGCCTGGTGCCCACGCTGTCGCTGCTGCACTACCCGGCCAGCGTCCAGGAGCCCATCACCTGCCAGGTCTTCAGCTACGTCATCTCCGTGCTCAAGAGCGTGTCCATGGCGTGCTTGGCGTGCATCAGCGTGGACCGCTACCTCGCCATCACCAAACCGCTGTCGTACAACCAGCTGGTGACGCCGTGCCGTCTCCGCGGCTGCATCACGCTCATATGGCTTTATTCCGGCCTGGTCTTCCTGCCCTCCTTCTTCGGGTGGGGGAAGCCGGGTTACCATGGCGACATCTTTGAGTGGTGCGCACACTCTTGGCCCACGTCTGCGCTCTTCACCGGCGCCGTGGTTTGCCTGCTGTACGCTCCCGCCGCGCTCGTCGTCTGCTTCACCTACTTTCACATCTTCCGCATCTGCCAGCAGCACAACCGCGAGATCAGCGAGAGGCGGGCGCGCTTCCCCAGCCAGGAGATGGAGGCGGAAGGAGCAGGCGGCACGCAACACGGCGGAGGTGGCATCAGCAGCAGCAGCAGCGGCGGCGGCGGGGAGCGACACGGCCCAGACAGACGCTACGCCATGGTCCTGTTCCGCATCACCAGCGTCTTCTACATGCTGTGGCTGCCGTACATCATCTACTTCCTGCTGGAGAGCTCGCACGTCCTGCACAGCCCCGCCCTCTCCTTCGTCACCACGTGGTTAGCGATTAGCAACAGCTTCTGTAACTGCGTGATCTACAGCCTCTCCAACAGCGTGTTCCGCCTCGGCATGCGCAGACTCTCTCAGACCATGTGCTCCTTCAGTCACTGCGCCGCCGACGACAGAGACTTTGGGGATTCCAAACCGAGGAGACGAGCCAACTCCTGCTCCATCTGAGGCGCCGTCTGAGGCGCCGTCTGAGGCTCCGTCTGAGGCGCCGTCTGAGGCTCCGTCTGAGGCTCCGTCTGAGGCTCCGTCTGAGGCTCCGTCTGAGGCTCCGTCTGAGGCTCCGTCTGAGGCGCCGTCTGAGGCTCCGTCTGAGGCTCCGTCTGAGGCTCCGTCTGAGGCTCCGTCTGAGGCGCCGTCTGAGGCTCCGTCTGAGGCTCCGTCTGAGGCTCCGTCTGAGGCTCCGTCTGAGGCTCCGTCTGAGGCTCCGTCTGAGGCGCCGTCCAAGGCTCCGTCTGAACAGTGGTTTAAATGGGTTCAGGCATACGCCCCGTTTCCACCAGCCCTGCTCTACTCTGCTTCTTTAGTCCCTCTTGGTCCTGGTCCTGGTTGTATCCAGGCCGAGCTGGTACTAAAGTGTTCTAACTGACACTGATTGGCCAGAGTGCTGCTGGAAGCCAAGGTTACCAAAGAATGTTGTGGGCAGGGTTGCTAGGATACGGTACCTGACAGTACGGTGGAGTAGGGCAGATGGAAATGGGGCTGTGATGTTAGAAAAGGACAATATCAAAACAAAAACTTTTTTTATAACGTTGACAAAATACGACGAGTCGGAGCAACTCTTCGCCCATGAGCACTTCCCCTTTAGGCTTCACAAGCTAAAGTGTCCGGTCCTGGTGTTTATATTTATATTTTCATATTTATTGAAAGATATTGTTTTTATTCTAATTTTTGACTCTGATCTAGATTTGACACTGGTCCTTGGTTTATCACGGTGATGTGTTCTAAGAACCAGAGAGGGACCAGGAGAGGGACCAGGAGAGGGACCAGGAGAGGGACCAGGAGAGAGACCAGGAGAGAGACCAGGAGAGAGACCAGGAGAGAGACCAGGAGAGAGACCAGAGAGAGAGACCAGAGAGAGAGACCAGGAGAGAGACCAGGAGAGAGACCAGGAGAGAGACCAGGAGAGAGACCAGGAGAGAGACCAGGAGAGAGACCAGGAGAGAGAGACCAGAGAGAGAGACCAGAGAGAGAGACCAGAGAGAGACTAGAGAGGGACCAGAGAGAGACCAGAGAGAGACCGGAGAGAGGAGAGAGACCAGAGAGAGACCGGAGAGAGACCGGAGAGAGACCAGAGAGAGAGACCAGAGAGAGACCAGAGAGAGAGAGACCAGAGAGAGACCAGAGAGAGACCAGAGAGAGAGACTAGAGAGGGACCAGAGAGAGGCCAGAGAGAGACCAGAGAGAGAGACACCATAGAGAGAGACCATAGAGACACCATAGAGAGACACCATAGAGGGAGACCATAGAGAGACCATAGAGAGATACACATCAAACAGAAATGCTACAGATAAAAGTACAACTGTACTACAACACAGAATAATATATATCCCTGTGTTTTTGGTTCATTGTACAGTCTGACGGTACCCAGCGTTTTTGAGTCTCTAACTGACGACCAGTTGTGATCTTTGGCCTCCAGCTGAAGGGAAGTTGTCGATAGAGAAATCCTCCTGTAAAAACCAGGACTGACTGAAGACGGATCTGAACTAAACTCTCTTTACGACTGAAATATCAAAACCTACTGTTTAGGCTCAAAATGTAGTTATTATTATTATTATTATTATTATTAATGAGAAATAGAAACGTGTTCAGTGGAAAAGAGAGTTTCTGCTCTGCTCCTGTTTCCACAACACTAAAAAGATCATTATCATGTATTGTTTGTCCCACTACGGCCCTGGTCTCTCTCTGGTCTCTCTCTGGTCTCTCTCTGGTCTCTCTCTCTGGTCTCTCTCTGGTCTCTCTCTGGTCTCTCTCTGGTCTCTCTCTGGTCTCTCTCTGGTCTCTCTCTCTGGTCTCTCTCTGGTCTCTCTCTGGTCTCTCTCTGGTCTCTCTCTGGTCTCTCTCTCTGGTCTCTTTCTGGTCTCTCTCTGGTCTCTCTCTGGTCTCTCTCTCTGGTCTCTCTCTGGTCTCTCTCTCTGGTCTCTCTCTCTGGTCTCTCTCTGGTCTCTCTCTGGTCTCTCTCTCTGGTCTCTCTCTCTGGTTTCTCTCTCTGGTCTCTCTCTCTGGTCTCTCTCTGGTCTCTCTCTGGTCTCTCTCTCTGGTCTCTCTCTCTGGTCTCTCTCTCTGGTCTCTCTCTGGTCTCTCTCTCTGGTCTCTCTCTGGTCTCTCTCTCTGGTCTCTCTCTGGTCTCTCTCTCTGGTCTCTCTCTCTGGTCTCTCTCTGGTCTCTCTCTCCGGTCTCTCTCTCTGGTCTCTCTCTGGTCTCTCTCTCCGGTCTCTCTCTCTGGTCTCTCTCTCTGGTCTCTCTCTCTGGTCTCTCTCTCTGGTCTCTCTCTCTCTCTGGTCTCTCTCTGGTCTCTCTCTCTGGTCTCTCTCTCTGGTCTCTCTCTGGTCTCTCTCGGGTCTCTCTCTCCGGTCTCTCTCTCTGGTCTCTCTCTCTGGTCTCTCTCTCTGGTCTCTCTGGTCTCTCTCTCTGGTCTCTCTCTCTGGTCTCTCTCTCTGGTCTCTCTCTGGTCTCTCTCTCTGGTCGGTCTCTCTGGTCTCTCTCTCTGGTCTCTCTCTCTGGTCTCTCTCTCTGGTCTCTCTCTGGTCTCTCTGGTCTCTCTCTCTGGTCTCTCTCTCTGGTCTCTCTCTCTGGTCTCTCTCTGGTCTCTCTCTCTGGTCTCTCTCTCTGGTCTCTCTGGTCTCTCTCTGGTCTCTCTCTGGTCTCTCTCTCTGGTCTCTCTCTCTGGTCTCTCTCTCTGGTCTCTCTCTCTGGTCTCTCTCTCTGGTCTCTCTCTGGTCTCTCTCTCTGGTCTCTCTGGTCTCTCTCTCTGGTCTCTCTCTCTGGTCTCTCTCTGGTCTCTCTCTGGTCTCTCTCTCTGGTCTCTCTCTGGTCTCTCTCTCCGGTCTCTCTCTCTGGTCTCTCTCTCTGGTCTCTCTCTCTGGTCTCTCTCTCTGGTCTCTCTCTCTGGTCTCTCTCTCTGGTCTCTCTCTGGTCTCTCTCTCTGGTCTCTCTCTCTGGTCTCTCTGGTCTCTCTCTCTGGTCTCTCTCTGGTCTCTCTCTGGTCTCTCTCTCTGGTCTCTCTCTCTGGTCTCTCTGGTCTCTCTCTCTGGTCTCTCTCTGGTCTCTCTCTGGTCTCTCTCTGGTCTCTCTCTCTGGTCTCTCTCTGGTCTCTCTGGTCTCTCTCTCTGGTCTCTCTCTCTGGTCTCTCTGGTCTCTCTCTCTGGTCTCTCTCTGGTCTCTCTCTGGTCTCTCTCTGGTCTCTCTCTGGTCTCTCTCTGGTCTCTCTCTCTGGTCTCTCTCTCTGGTCTCTCTCTCTGGTCTCTCTCTCTGGTCACTCTCTCTGCTACATTAGCACCATATTGATTCATGTAACATACTCTACTGGTCCTAAAGTGTTCTAACAGTGATTGACCAGAGAGCTGCTGGAGACATGGTTAACAAGGAATTTCCCTTCATCTGTTGTGGGGAGGTAGCAGAGCAGAGCTGGGCTGGGCTGGGCTGGGCTGGGCTGGGCTGGGCTGGGCTGGGCTGGGCTTGGTTGGTGGAAATGGGGCCAAAGATAATGTGCAATACTGACGGTAGTAAAACTGTAGAGTTTCAGACGTTGCTTCGTGTCTTTTTAAACATATTTATCTAAAGTCACTATTTTCACAAACTTTTGTAGTTTATGGCCACGACTGTTCCCGACATTTACAAACGCCGTAGTGTGAAGAACAAGAGGAACGGAAATGTATATTTGCCAAAGGCTTTAGACCCCGGCGCGTCAGACCCTGGCGCGTCAGACCCTGGCGCGTCAGACCCTGGCGCGTCAGACCCTGGCGCGTCAGACCCTGGCGTGTCAAACCCCGGCGCGTCAGACCCCGGCGCGTCAGACCCCGGCGCGTCAGACCCCGGCGCGTCAGACCCCGGCAGTGGGTCAGACCCCGGCAGTGGTTCAGACCCCGGCGCGTCAGACCCCGGCGGTGGGTCAGACCCTGGCGGTGGGTCAGACCCTGGCGGTGGGTCAGACCCTGGCGGTGGGTCAGACCCCGGCGCGTCAGACCCCGGCGGTGGGTCAGACCCCGGCGGTGGGTCAGACCCTGGCGGTGGGTCAGACCCTGGCGGTGGGTCAGACCCTGGCGGTGGGTCAGACCCTGGCGGTGGGTCAGACCCCGGCGCGTCAGACCCCGGCGGTGGGTCAGACCCTGGCGGTGGGTCAGACCCTGGCGGTGGGTCAGACCCTGGCGGTGGGTCAGACCCTGGCGGTGGGTCAGACCCCGGCGGTGGTTCAGACCCTGGCGGTGGGTCAGACCCCGGCGGTGGGTCAGACCCTGGCGGTGGGTCAGACCCTGGCGGTGGGTAAGACCCCGGCGGTGGGTCAGACCCTGGCGGTGGGTCAGACCCTGGCGGTGGGTCAGACCCCGGCGGTGGGTCAGACCCCGGCGCGTCAGACCCCGGCGGTGGGTCAGACCCTGGCGGTGGGTCAGACCCTGGCGGTGGGTCAGACCCTGGCGGTGGGTCAGACCCTGGCGGTGGGTCAGACCCTGGCGGTGGGTCAGACCCTGGCGGTGGGTCAGACCCCGGCGGTGGTTCAGACCCTGGCGGTGGGTCAGACCCCGGCGGTGGGTCAGACCCTGGCGGTGGGTCAGACCCCGGCGGTGGGTCAGACCCTGGCGGTGGGTCAGACCCTGGCGGTGGGTCAGACCCTGGCGGGAGCCCGTCCTGTGTGTGGTGGTGTGACATGGTTCTAACGTGTTTAGAAAAGCTACATTTTTACTGATGCACAACTTCAAAGCCAAGGACTGTAGTTCTTCAATTAAAACTGTATCAAAGTCTACAGCGTCTGTTCCTTCAGCTCTGTCTGTTCCTTCAGCTCTACAGTGTCTGTTCCTTCAGCTCTGTCTGTTCCTTCAGCTCTACAGTGTCTTTTCCTTCAGCTCTGTCTGTTCCTTCAGCTCTGTCTGTTCCTTCAGCTCTACAGTGTCTGTTCCTTCAGCTCTGTCTGTTCCTTCAGCTCTACAGTGTCTTTTCCTTCAGTCTTCTTCAGCTCTGTCTGTTCCTTCAGCTCTACAGTGTCTGTTCCTTCAGCTCTGTCTGTTCCTTCAGCTCTACAGTGTCTGTTCCTTCAGCTCTGTCTGTTCCTTCAGCTCTACAGTGTCTGTTCCTTCAGCTCTGTCTGTTCCTTCAGCTCTACAGTGTCTGTTCCTTCAGCTCTGTCTGTTCCTTCAGCTCTACAGTGTCTGTTCCTTCAGCTCTGTCTGTTCCTTCAGCTCTACAGTGTCTTTTCCTTCAGCTCTGTCTGTTCCTTCAGCTCTGTCTGTTCCTTCAGCTCTACAGTGTCTGTTCCTTCAGCTCTGTCTGTTCCTTCAGCTCTACAGTGTCTTTTCCTTCAGCTCTGTCTGTTCCTTCAGCTCTGTCTGTTCCTTCAGCTCTACAGTGTCTGTTCCTTCAGCTCTATCTGTTCCTTCAGCTCTACAGTGTCTTTTCCTTCAGCTCTGTCTGTTCCTTCAGCTCTGTCTGTTCCTTCAGCTCTGTCTGTTCCTTCAGCTCTACAGTGTCTGTTCCTTCAGCTCTGTCTGTTCCTTCAGCTCTATAGTGTCTGTTCCTTCAGTTCTGTCTGTTCCTTCAGCTCTACAGTGTCTGTTCCTTCAGCTCTGTCTGTTCCTTCAGCTCTACAGTGTCTGTTCCTTCAGCTCTGTCTGTTCCTTCAGCTCTACAGTGTCTTTTCCTTCAGCTCTGTCTGTTCCTTCAGCTCAGTGTCTGTTCCTTCAGCTCTACAGTGTCTGTTCCTTCAGCTCTGTCTGTTCCTTCAGCTCTACAGTGTCTGTTCCTTCAGCTCTGTCTGTTCCTTCAGCTCTACAGTGTCTGTTCCTTCAGCTCTGTCTGTTCCTTCAGCTCTACAGTGTCTTTTCCTTCAGCTCTGTCTGTTCCTTCAGCTCTACAGTGTCTGTTCCTTCAGCTCTGTCTGTTCCTTCAGCTCTACAGTGTCTGTTCCTTCAGCTCTGTCTGTTCCTTCAGCTCTACGGTGTCTGTTCCTTCAGCTCTGTCTGTTCCTTCAGCTCTACAGTGTCTGTTCCTTCAGCTCTACAGTGTCGGTTCCTTCAGCTCTATCTGTTCCTTCAGCTCTATCTGTTCCTTCAGCTCTGTCTGTTCCTTCAGCTCTGTCTGTTCCTTCAGCTCTGTCTGTTCCTTCAGCTCTGTCTGTTCCTTGAGCTCTGTCTGTTCCTTCAGCTCTGTCTGTTCCTTCAGCTCTACAGTGTCTGTTCCTTCAGCTCTACAGTGTCTGTTCCTTCAGCTCTACAGTGTCTGTTCCTTCAGCTCTGTCTGTTCCTTCAGCTCTACAGTGTCTGTTCCTTCAGCTCTGTCTGTTCCTTCAGCTCTACAGTGTGTCCTCAGGGACTCAGACCCAGAGCAGTCAAAATGACTGCTATAGTTTTGGAGGTGTTAAGACTCAGCTCAAATGTAAGCATTTTCAGGCAAGCAGCATTCAGAGGCCCCTATGGTCTGGACTGGTCTGGACTGGACTGGGACTGGACCGGTCCTGGACTGGTCTGGACTGGTCCTGGACTGGTCTGGTCCTGGACTAACGATTTTTAAGGGTCCCATACTAATGTTTAAAGGTCCCACACTAATGTTTAAAGGTCCATACTAATGTTTAAAGGTCCATACTAATGTTTAAAGGTCCATACTAATGTTTAATGGTCCCATACTAATGTTTAAAGGTCCCATACTAATGTTTAAAGGTCCATACTAATGTTTAAAGGTCCATACTAATGTTTAAAGGTCCATACTAATGTTTAAAGGTCCATACTAATGTTTAATGGTCCCATACTAATGTTTAAAGGTCCCATACTAATGTTTAACGGCCCCATACTAATGTTTAAAGGTCCATACTAATGTTTAAAGGTCCCATACTAATGTTTAAAGGTCCATACTAATGTGTAAAGGTCCCAGACTAATGTTTAAAGGTCCCACACTAATGTTTCAAGGTCCCACACTAATGTTTAAAGGTCCATACTAATGTTTAAAGGTCCCATACTAATGTTTAAAGGTCCCACACTAATGTTTAAAGGTCCCATACTAATGTTTAAAGGTCCATACTAATGTTTAAAGGTCCATACTAATGTTTAAGGGTCCCACAGTAATGTTTAAAGGTCCCACACTAATGTTTAAAGGTCCCACACTAATGTTTAAAGGTCCCATACTAATGTTTAAAGGTCCATACTAATGTGTAAAGGTCCCAGACTAATGTTTAAAGGTCCCACACTAATGTTTCAAGGTCCCACACTAATGTTTAAAGGTCCATACTAATGTTTAAAGGTCCCATACTAATGTTTAAAGGTCCCACACTAATGTTTAAAGGTCCCATACTAATGTTTAAAGGTCCATACTAATGTTTAAAGGTCCATACTAATGTTTAAGGGTCCCACAGTAATGTTTAAAGGTCCCACACTAATGTTTAAAGGTCCCACACTAATGTTTAAAGGTCCCACACTAATGTTTAAAGGTCCATACTAATGTTTAAAGGTCCATACTAATGTTTAATGGTCCCATACTAATGTTTAATGGTCCCATACTAATGTTTAAAGGTCCCATACTAATGTTTAAAGGTCCCACACTAATGTTTAAAGGTCCCACACTAATGTTTAAAGGTCCCACACTAATGTTTAAAGGTCCCACACTAATGTTTAAAGGTCCATACTAATGTTTAAAGGTCCCATACTCATTTTTAAAGGTCCCAGACTAATGTTTAAAGGTCCCATACTAATGTTTAAAGGTCCCACACTAATGTTTAAAGGTCCCACACTAATGTTTAAAGGTCCATATTAATGTTTAAAGGTCCATACTAATGTTTAAAGGTTCCATACTAATGTTTAAAGGTCCTATACTAATGTTTAAAGGTCCCACAGTAATGTTTAAAGGTACATACTAATGTTTAAAGGTCCATAATAATGTTTAATGGTCCCATACTAATGTTTAAAGGTCCCACACTAATGTTTAAAGGTCCCACACGAATGTTTAAAGGTCCCACACTAATGTTTAATTGTCCCACACTAATGTTTAAAGGTCCCACACTAATGTTTAAAGGTCCCACACTAATGTGTAAAGGTCCCACACTAATGTTTAAAGGTCCATAATCATGTTTAAAGGTCCCACACTAATGTTTAAAGGTCCCATAATAATGTTTAAAGGGCCGTACTAATGTTTAAAGGTCCCACACTAATGTTTAAAGGTCCCACTCTAATGTTTAAAGGTCCCATACTAATGTTTAAAGGTCCCATACTAATGTTCAAAGGTCCCATACTAATGTTCAAAGGTCCCATACTAATGTTTGAAGGTCCATACTAATGTTTAAAGGCCCATACTAATGTTTAAAGGTCCCACACTAATGTTTAAAGGTCCCACACTAATGTTTAAAGGCCCATACTAATGTTTAAAGGTCCCACACTAATGTTTAAAGGTCCCACACTAATGTTTAAAGGTCCCACTCTAATGTTTAAAGGTCCCATACTAATGTTTAAAGGTCCCATACTAATGTTTAAAGGTCCCACACAAATGTTTAATATTCCCACACTAATGTTTAAAGGTCCATACTAATGTTTAATATTCCCACACTAATGTTTAAAGGTCCCGTACTAATGTTTAAAGGTCCCAAACTAATGTTTAAAGGTCCCACACTAATGTTTAAAGGTCCCACACTAATGTTTAAAGGTCCCACTCTAATGTTTAAAGGTCCCATACTAATGTTTAAAGGTCCATACTAATGTTTAAAGGTCCATACTAATGTTTAAGGGTCCCACAGTAATGTTTAAAGGTCCCACACTAATGTTTAAAGGTCCCACACTAATGTTTAAAGGTCCCACACTAATGTTTAAAGGTCCATACTAATGTTTAAAGGTCCATACTAATGTTTAATGGTCCCATACTAATGTTTAAAGGTCCCAGACTAATGTTTAAAGGTCCCACACTAATGTTTAAAGGTCCCACACTAATGTTTAAAGGTCCCACACTAATGTTTAAAGGTCCATACTAATGTTTAAAGGTCCCATACTCATTTTTAAAGGTCCCAGACTAATGTTTAAAGGTCCCATACTAATGTTTAAAGGTCCCACACTAATGTTTAAAGGTCCCACACTAATGTTTAAAGGTCCATATTAATGTTTAAAGGTCCATACTAATGTTTAAAGGTTCCATACTAATGTTTAAAGGTCCTATACTAATGTTTAAAGGTCCCACAGTAATGTTTAAAGGTACATACTAATGTTTAAAGGTCCATAATAATGTTTAATGGTCCATACTAATGTTTAAAGGTCCCACACTAATGGTTTGTAAAAGGTCCATACTAATGTTTAAAGGTCCATTCTAATGTTTAAATGTCCATACTAATGTTTAAAGGTCCCACAGTAATGTTTAAAGGTCCCACAGTAATGTTTAAAGGTCCCACAGTAATGTTTAAAGGTCCATACTAATATTTAAAGGTCCCACACTAATGTTTAAAGGTCCCACACTAATGTTTAAAGGTCACACAGTAATGTTTAAAGCAGTAGCGGCGCCAGGTTTGCAATTTCGGGTAGGCCGCAGATTAGTAAACTACAAAGGCTAGCTGGAATTGGGGTTTCAAAGAATATGGTTCAAACGCACGCACACGCACTCAAGCACACACATACACACAAGCTCATTTATGAAACTTGCGTAGAAAAAGATGTACATTTTGGGTGTATATTCTATTTACGCAAAATCCAACGTTGGATTTATGAACGTGTGAGATCCGCCCAGTTCTGAGCGTACGCAGCTGCGGATGTTGTTAAATTGACTGAATAGTCACGCCCAGAATTATGCAGCAATCGCGTGTTTCACGCCCCGTCTTCGTGACAGGTCAGCAGGAAGCCGGCCTAAAAGACTGTTTGGAAGCCTCAAAAGGCACGTTTGTTTGGTCATGTTTATGTAATAATAAATATGCGCTATATATTCAGCTGCGTTTTGAACAAATTTGCTAAAATGTTTTGATACATTAGAAAAATCTCTCTTGAATAGTAGAAGTGAATAAATATAGATTGATTGAATTAATTCATATATATTATGCAGCAGTGGCTCTCATGAATGAAGCGTCTGCAGCGTCTTGGACGCAGCCTGGCTCGGGGTAGAAGGGCCCCGACGGCCCGACAGCCCGAGGGCCGGGCTTTGGGCCGATGACCGCATAATGACCTCGGACACGGGCCGGGCTCGGGCTCTTCATTTTCAGAGCGGCAGAATACATTTACGAACTCATTCACTGAATATAGCGTTCTATCACGCTGTAGTGTTTGTTGTTCTGTGTAGTGTTGTCATTGACGGCACATAGCATTACTTACAGGTGTGTTGCAGCATCTGGGCATCATACAGCTGTGTATCATACAGCTGTGTATCATACAGCTGTGTATCATACAGCTGTGTATCATACAGCTGCGGCCGTTCACTCTGCACCACTCCACACACACAGAACTCATTGCAACACATCACTACCATGTATAACTCCGCCCTCTAGCTAAGTCTGCGTTCATATCAGTGCGCGGCACTATATACTACGCTAAAACATTGTTATGGGAGGTTACAAAAAAAAAAAAAAAAAGGCGGGCTTGATGCGGGTTTCGGGCCTGAAAATTGAGAAACCATATCGGGCCGGGCCGGGCTGGGGCGCCACCCCCTCGGGCCAGGGCCGGGCTCGGGCCCAGATAATAGGCCCGTGCAGGGCTCTACTGTACACTTCAGAGAGCGTTTGCGGTCCAGATTTCACAGGGCAGTGAGACATTTGTGAGTGAGCAATACCATCGATGCGTTATTGGTGTGTGTGTCTGTGTGAGGGTTACACAAATCTAATGAAATAACACATTGCTTTAGATGTGAATGAGGAATACAAATAGCCGTGCGTAATTACGCAGCGCAGAGCCTGCCACAGAAATAGGTCACACATCCCTGTTGCGTAAAGTGTATTTATATAGAGCCTTTCACTGTCCAGGATCACAAAGCGCTTCACATTTTAAAAACATACAGATCAAAATAATACACACACAAGTCAGATTTAATAGAGGGTCCTCATCATGAGCTGTGATTTATTCGAAGTTTGCTTGTTTCCATTAGACTTTTTCTGATGCGCAAATTCAAATTTAGAAACATGATCCTCAATGAAAACACAGCATATAATGTTTCCAGAGGGAATATGTTTATTGTTGTACATATCTTGAATTTCATGCGTGTTTTGGCGTGTTGTGCCGAAGGTTGAGATCAGCGTATAGATTTACACCACCTACAGACCTGGCGTATATTTTTTGCGTATTGTACGCTCACGTCCAGATAGATAAATGCGGAAAAGTGTAATATTTTGCTTACGCCTCATTTACCCTAACCTTGCCTGCAAGCTGAATTCTCGCGGTATTTGTGAGTTCA